ATTGGCTTTCTATTGGGGAAGTGTGGACTTCTTCGTGGTCTGGGTCAAACTGTCGGAAAACCGTAAATGCCACACAAATGAGGGTTACATTTCCTGAATCCTGACAAAAATCCCTACGTTTTGATTTAAAATTTATCTAGATAGAGTAAAAAATGAGCGAGTGAGTTGAAGCTGTTCGGCATGAGTGAAATGTTTGAAAACGCTAGAGTGGCACACTCTAGCAGCTGAACATTCCGTCCATAGACTTCCATTATAAATTTGAAAATCTGTAAAAAATGTTTAAAAGTTTGAAGCTTCACTGAAGCAAAACTGTAAAAGTTAGCTGAAAGCCGAGTTAAACAGTAATAGCAGAAAGATACGGAAACATTTTAAAAGTTGAATGGTGTTTCTAGCTGAAAGTATGCTGAAGTAGTTAAAGGGCAAAGTAGCTGAAGATTTAGTGGAATTTTTGAAGTTTTACATGCATTTTAATGGGGCCAAAAATCGCAGAAAAAGCTGAATATCGCGAAAACTACGAACAATATCTTTACCAAAAGTCATAGCAGAATTCTCCTGAACAAGCTGAACGTTTTGATACCAAATTTGTTTAAATCAGCTGAAAACTGTTGAACTAGTTAAACGAAGAAAAACCTACGGAATAATAATAATAATAATAATAATAATAATAATAATAAAGAAAAACAGAAAAACACTAGAAAAAGCTGTTTCGGAGAAACATCAAAGTGGGAATGCTTTTGCTGAATGAAAAAAGCTGAAATTACCTGAAGAACATATGAAAATGTGATAGGAAGTCATCAGAAACTTCAAACTGCAGAAAACAATTGAATCATCTGAAGATTTTGTAGGGTAGAATCATTTGGCAGTAAAATGGCAGAAACAAACTCATCTTAAAAGCTGCACAGCCAAACCATACATGATATCAAAAAATGTCTTGAATGTGGGCACTAGAAGGGTCTTAATATAATGTCTCCCAAGTTTCTAGAAAAATGTATAAAGAAATTTTGAAGGGGGGTTTACCTACTTTCCAGAAACATGTCAGGCGTGTTATGAATTAGCAGCAAACAGAAAAGCTTAATTCCTGTCCAGAAAGAGAGCAGAATGAAGCCAAAGTTCACAGCATAGGCTGAAAAGTATTAAATTAGCTGAATCAGAAAAGAAATTACAAAGAAAAACTTAAATCTTATCTGGTTGAAGAAAAATGAGTAGCTTAAGGATGGGAAGTAAAATGTTGAGGAAGATGGTATTGAATAAATATCAAAATTTAGAAATTGTGGGAATGTCAAGACTTGGCAAAACAATTTCAAATGATTTAAAATGTGATGGTTGATCAGCATAAAGAAAACAGCGTCATCCTTAGAGGATTGAAAATCTACAAACCTATGTGCAAGGACGACCATGACAAGCAGAGGAAGGACAGAGAGAGAAGCTTATAGAAAGAGAGCTAATACCACCTAAGGAGCTGAATTTATCAAAAAATTTAACCTGCATGTTACGAGCCACTGTGTTGATGACAGCACCGTTGGCAGGCTTAGGCTGCATGTTACGAGGTTAGCAGATGCTTTATTACAGTGTAAATCTTAGAACCTGATTAAGAAATATGCACTGAGGTGTGTGGTCAACAGGCCTTGGTAGTGTAATTTGAAGAAATTGGTTGAGTTTGGGTCATAGCTACGAGCCATACGGCACAATGAATGAGTGTATGTAAGAAATAGGCTTTTATTTTGTAGAGTCCCTTTAGTCTTATTTTGAAAGTCTATCATGGATGTGTGTCAAGGGAAGGGTCATGCCCAGCAGTGATATAGAATCCATTTCTAAATATGAAATCACTGGTTTTCCATCTTTATTGGGTGAATAGATGCTGTATTAGAGCGTAAATGGGAGACTTTTATTGTGAAATTCACTCCGGGATATGTTTTGAAAAGGTCCCTAGAGTCTAATAGAAACAAACTGGTAGAGTTTGGGTTGTAATGCTGAGCCATTTGCATCAATTAATACGCGAGTATAATATAGAGGCTTTTATTGTGTAGGGTCACTGCAGTCTTATTTTGAAAGTCTAGCAGTAGTGTGTTGCTAAAAGGGTCAGACCCAGCAGTGATACTTGATGGCTTTCCAATCATTAAATCACTCTTTCCCCTGTTATTAGGGTAGTAGATGAAGTGGCAATGGGAGGCTTTTATTTTGAAATTTGCTGTGGGGTGTGTTTTGAAAAACCCCTAGTCTCATTTTTAAAAAGGTGGTTGAGTTTGGGTCATAATGTTGAGCCATATGCTGGGAAAAAAATATGAGTTTAATGTAGGAGCTTTTATTTTGAAGGGTCCCCGGAGTCTTATTTTGAAAGTCTATCAGGGTTGCGTGTGAAGGGAAGGGTCATGGCCAGTAGTTGTATTGTATCCACTTCCTAATGTTAAATCAGTGTTGTCTCCCTCCATTAGATTAAAATGTGCTGTTTAAAGTGGTGGAGGTAAAATCCCTTTGAAGCTCGGTTACCTTGACGACGTTAACGAGCCTGTCAGTGACAGAGAGACATGCGCTTCACTTTCGTTCCTTTGTTCTCAGGCTTTTATGAATGGGAATATCAGCTCCGAACAAACAAGTGCTGAAGACAAACCGTAAATGGTATCTAAAAAATTCTTTCAGTCTAAGCGAGAGCTATCCTTTCTCTCCAATTGGGGTAACTTTCATGGCTGTAGCTCATTCACAACCTTAATGGGAAGGAGGAATATAAAGGTTTGTAAATCCTGCTGGTCTCATTAACATGGAGTTCCACGGTAGAGCTGAACTCTCAAAAGCAAAACTTTCCCTCCGAACAAACGAGCGGTGAGCCAAAACCGTATTAGATATTCAAAAAATTCTTTCACCGTGAGCGTCAGCAATCTTTGGACTACAACTGGTGTAACTTTCATATTTCTACAATATTTGGTCTAGGCGTGGTGACGATGTAAAAAAGTGTATAATTGTCAAAATCTTGATTTTGGGGTTCGGACAGATTTGTTACCCCCGAACAAACCTTTTTCCTAGCTAAACGATAAAAGATATCGACACACTTCCTTCAATGTGAGTGCTAGGAAGGTCTGAGGAACAACTTCCACAAGGCTCGTGTTGCTACGTCGAACGGTTCCCGAATGGGAGCGATACGAAAAAGTCTGTTTTTTTGAATTTTCAGTTCGGATTTTCAGAGAGCTCTCATTGGATTTCTATTGGGGAAGTGTGGACTTCTTCGTGGTCTGGGCCAAACTGTCGGAAAACTGTAAACGCCACACAAATAAGGGTTACATTTCCTGAATCCTGACAAAAATCCCTACGTTTTGATGTACAATTTATCTAGATAGGGTAAAAAATGAGCGAGTGAGTTGAAGCTGTTCGGCATGAGTGAAATGTTTGAAAACGTTAGAGTGGCACACTCTAGCAGCTGAACATTCCGTCCATAGACTTCCATTATAAATTTGAAAATTTGTAAAAATTGTTTAAAAGTTTGAAGCTTCACTGAAGCAAAACTGTAAAAGTTAGCTGAAAGCCGAGTTAAACAGTAATAGCAGAAAGATACAGATACATTTTAAAAGTTGAATGGTGTTTCTAGCTGAAAGTATGCTGAAGTAGTTAAAGGGCAAAGTAGCTGAAGATTTAGTGGAATTTTTGAAGTTTTACATGCATTTCAATGGGGCCAAAAAAACGCAGAAAAAGCTGAATATCGCGAAAACTACAAAAAATATCTTAACCAAAAGACATAGCAGAATTCTCCTGAACGAGCTGAACGTTTTGATACCAAAATTGTTGAAATCGGTTGAAAACTGTGGGACTAGTTAGAGTCAGAAAAATTAAAAGTGAACAACAATAAGTGGGAATGCATAAGCATTCCCACTTGATAATAAAGAGAAACAGAAAAACAATAAGTGGGAATGCATAAGCATTCCCACTTGATTATTGTGATCAATTTGCGCCGTCAATCCCGGGGCATGCGCGCTTCATTTGCAGTCTGGACGCTGAGGGTAAACTCCTCACTAAAATCCTGCGGCTCTGACTGCCCCGCTGAGAGGGATTCCTGTGGGAGAGAGAGAAAGGGGTTGGGATGGGGGAGGCGCCCCACGGCAGCAGCTGCCGCTGGAGGAGAAGAGTAGGAACGATACATGCTTTCACGTAAGAGTCTCCAAAAGCCGCCAGTGACACCGAAAAAAGTCGCCAGATTTGTCGCTAGTAGCTTATTAAAGAAATAGTCGCTGGAGGAGTCTGAAAAGTCGCTGAGTTGTCAACACTGCAACTGCGGCGCTGACTCGCTCCGCCATATTTTTTTTTCTTCCCCGGGATGACGGCGGCGGCGGATGACGCATTAATCGCGCGACACAACTAATCGATGATTAAATTCGTTGCCAACGCTTTTAAAAGTCGATTTTTATCGATTTTATCGATTCGTTGTTGCAGCCCTACTGGTTTCCGTCACTCTGCCTTGCTGTGTCACAGTGCATGGTGGTGTTTATGGTTCCCTCAGGAAACTGAAGCTCCCCACAGCCAGCAGCACTCATGCAACCCCCCCAACCCACCCAGTACCTCATGACACCCCCAGTACCATGTTTGGCTGTAGGCAGGACGCCTTTGTCTTATTTCTTCTATGATTGTGGCCACAAATTCTCGATTCCATTATTTCATCTTGATCTATATCGTTTTTTTCAGTAACCTTTGTTTTTAGTCTGCTTAGTTAAAAAAAGCTAAACTCCATCGAGCTTGCTTCCTACACTTCTGGATGTGATGTATTCAGTTGTCTCTGGTGTTCAGTCTGTTATTTCTTATGAAAATACCCGCAATAATCTTGTTTACTCAGTTTAAAAAAATGCTTCCTTTATTGTGCGTTATTCAATTCAATTCAGTTTATTTATATAGCGCCAAATTCACATGACCCCTTTTTCTATATAGTTATATTTCACCTTTTTTTTTGTATTTTTATTTATTTATCTAAGTCCTTCTGTTCAGTTTATGTTTGTAAAAATGTTTTTATTTTGCCTTCTTTCCTGTGTAGTTTAAGGAAATCAGCTTTGCTTACGACGTGCTCACTAACCCTGAGAAGAAGGAGCTCTACGATCGGTATGGAGAACAAGGTTTGCGGGAAGGAGGCGGGGGTGGCCCTGGGATGGACGACATCTTCTCCCACATCTTTGGCGGTGGCCTCTTTAGCTTCATGGGCGGTCAGGGAGGCCGCTCCAGGAACGGAGGACGTAGGAGAGGCGAGGACATGGTTCATCCGCTCAAGTAGGTTAAATCTCCTGAAATCAATCAGCTGTGCTGCGATGCGTCTGTCGCTATATCCAGGTTCCTTAATACCTCACGTTTTCTCCAGAGTGTCGCTGGATGACCTTTACAATGGGAAAACAACAAAACTGCAGCTTAGCAAGAATGTCCTGTGTAGTTCCTGTAATGGGTAAGTTGATCATTGTTCAACCACTGTGGTGTCTGCTGCCCTTTGGTGTTTAACTCGCTCTGATACATATATCTCTGCAGACAAGGAGGCAAGACGGGTGCAGTCCAGAAATGTACGGCGTGTAGGGGGCGGGGCATGCGCGTCATGATCAGACAGCTGGCCCCAGGAATGGTCCAACAGATGCAGTCTGTGTGTACCGATTGTAACGGTGAAGGTGAGACCCAGGCCTTGGTGTTGTCTTTTATTGATTAGTTCTAAGAGACATTTGTAAAGCTTAGCCTTAACTGTAACTACAATACAGTCTCTTTGCTTTAATTGAATCCACTCCAGGTGAAGTCATCAGCGAGAAAGACCGTTGTAAAAAATGTGAAGGCAAAAAGGTGGTGAAGGAGGTGAAAATTCTGGAGGTCCACGTAGACAAAGGCATGAAGCACGGGCAGAAAATCACCTTCGGAGGAGAAGCTGACCAGGCGCCTGGAGTGGAGCCTGGAGACATAGTGCTTGTTCTGCAGGAAAAAGACCACGAGGTAAGGGAATCCATCGTTTTTATCCTAGTAGTTTTATTTGTGTTACTTTAAAAATATGACCTGCTGTGTTTGTGAAGGCGAATTTAGAAGAACGTTGAACTTTAAATTCATCTGTGTGAATTGAACCCGTTTGGGCTGTGAGTGCGATTGTTCCGCTACCTTTTCTCGGAGGAAGACTAACATGAATGGTGATGTTATGATCCATAAAGATGCATCTGCTTCAAATGTCTGCAGTTCTTCTCATATGGTTAATGAATAAGATTATATTGAAATATAAATATTGAATTCTTGCCCAACACTGAACTCATCTTTTGAGACAGCTGAAGGGTTATTGCAGCTCGGACAGGAAGGACTTTAAAAGCAAATTAAAGGAAAGGATTGGAAAACGACTCCTGAATTAAAACATGGAACCCAAAGTAGAGAAGCTAAAAATGTCTGGAAATTATTAAATTAATGTTAGAATACAAGCAGCTGTATTTATCTGAAGCTGAGAGATGCACCAATCACTGACTCAACCATGGAGCACATATGTTACTGAGAAAGAATCAATTTTACATTTGTTAGTTGACTTCAATTGTAAGAAACTATTGCAGTTTCTCAATATGTGTACTTGTGAGTTCTCGTGTGCTTGTGAAACATCATCAGCCTCAGCACTAGTACTGTTCCAATTCACAAGAACAGCAGACGAAAAACAAACTCCCTTGATGTTGTTCTCGCCCCTCCTTCTTTACCCAGCATGCATTAGAGCAGAATTGTCCGTTCCTGAGATTGACAGCTGTCCCAGCATGCACTGCGGCAGCAGCAGCTTCCAGTGTAACGTTCACAGAGCTCAGAGTATTGAGTTAGAAAATCTCTTTTCTGTTGCCTAGTATGTTTTAAGATCATTTGAGGCAAGAACATACTTTTAACTGTCACCATATGCTCCATTTACTGATTTAATGCCTAATTAAAAATTTCTTTTCTGGAGTTGAGAAGACCGCGGCAACCAGCGGAGCTCGGAGGTTAACGTTAGCCCGTCTGCAGCGGCCCTCTCTGCATAGCCGTGTGTGAAGGACAACGCTCTGATTGCGATATTTGTTTTATTTAGCAAAATTTTTTTTTGATTTGTGTTTAACTTACTTTTTTCATATAGTGGGGGAATAACAATTAACACAGTAAGAATTTATTATTATCTAGAGCAGTGTTTTTCAACCCTGGTCCTCAAGGCACCCTGCTCTGCATGTTTCTGAGCTTCAGCACACCTGATTCAGATGATTGCAGTTCAGCAAAGCCTTATAATCTGCTATCAATAGGGGGTTTTCAGGTGACGTCGCGCTCACGTGACTACTCAGCGCGTCCGCCATATTGGGTGGCAGCCTTAGGCAATATTGACAGTGAAAAATGGTGAAATCGTGTGTAATTGTTGGTTGCACGGCCCGTGGAGGTGGAGATCAATGCTCTTTCTATCGCATACCAGCCGTAATCGTGAATCAATGTGAAAAAACAAAACAGCTATCTGAACAACGCCGTCACCTATAGCTGACACGGATATCCAGGTCCGATTTGGACGATGTGAAGCTGGAACACGCCAGAGTCTGCAGTGCTCACTTTGTCACAGGTAATTAACTGTCAAGCATTTAAAACATGTAAGAATATGTTAATAACAGGGCTTGGGCGTCATGACGTATTACTTTCCGTGGCCGCAATGTTGACCGTCTCCGCCGCCGCTACTCAGACTACTGCCTATGACCACCGTGTACTGGACTCCCTCTCTCAGCCGTGTTTTAATTTGATTAATTTCACCTTAACTTGATTTCAACCAGTGGGAAAAGGCTCAAATATGTGAGAAACCCGGAGGGTTTAGGGAGGTTTGGCAGTAAACGTTAATAACCAAACCTTTGAAACACATAGCAGCTGGTTAAAAGTACATTACATGCCTGAGTGGTTGTTAGCACTAACGGTTAGCACTGTTTGCTGGCTTTATGAGCTGCAGCTCCTGAACCCATCCATTCGTAAACTGCACATGAGACTCCAAGGACTTGTAGCTTTGGAACTGTTCGCACACCGCCGGCCGTTAGCCACCTAGCATAGCGAGCCCTGCGTCGGATTGTTTAAATTTTTACCATCTTATTAAAACTCACCCGTCCACGTATGATGGCGATTTCCTTCATGTACATTACTTTGACATCTCGTACCCAACCAGATGTGAACTGGTTGTGAGCCTCTAGACCCTTGTATGCTCTCATTTCCTCAAGAGTGTGCAGAGGGTTTTCACTGAACACCGGGTAATGAACTATGTCACCTTGCTCTACATTTGGCCAATCATCTGGATTAGTGCTAAACAAGGCACCGTGGAGGGCATAGGGGTCCATATGGTCGATCACGGAACATTTTCTCAGATATGTTCCATGATCTGGTGGCTCTAGCGTGCTGGCGTACTTATCCATTCGCGACATGATATATATGATATACGATAATATGCCACCCAAGATGGCGGACCGGAAGCTGGCCAGTGATGTCACTGAAAACCCCCTATTGATAACAGGTGTGTGAAAGCTCGGAAACATCTAAAACATGCAGGGCAGTGTGCCTTGAGGACCAGAATTGAAAAACACTGATCTAGAGACTTTTAATAACAGGAGGTGTAATCTAGCTCAGACTAGCTGAGTGTGTGGCCCAGTAAACTAGCCCCACCTGCCAGCGGCCAAAATAATTTTTGCCTTGGAGTGCTCTAGCCTTGATTGATGCCCCATGCCCTAGAACTGACGGGCCAATCGCAACGCAGAGATGTGTTTTGAATTTCTGGATGCAAAGCGGGTGGGGTTTCAGAGGGCGTGAAGACAAAGCTGCGCGACGCTGGAGAAAGCACAACAAGGAAGATGGCAGCAACTGTTGAACAGTTTTGGTTTGACTCAGCTTTGGAATCAGTTCTGGAAGGATTAGACTTGGGGTTTTGTTGAAAGGTGAGCAGGAAGAGGCTCTACGCTCATTAATTTTAAGAAGGACGTGTTCACTGTTGTACCGACAGGCTGTTTGTTTACACTCCACCACCAGCTTCCTGTCGCGCTTCCTACGTCACAGTCAGTTGCGCTCATTGGTCAGAGCGTTGGCCAATAGGCACAGACATGGTTTGAAAAACAACAGGTTGTTCTCATCAACAATCTCCCGATGTGTCATCCATCGGGGCCAGACTAAATTAAACATTTAATCTCACATTTAGTCTGGTCTACCAGGCTACTTAGCATGTGGTGATGTCATCAGTATGCTTCTGTTCCAAGTGACCAATATTTTTGCTGCATACTCCCGTTCTCACCAAGTCCAGACTTTTCTCTGTTCTTCTGAAGAACACATTTGGCGAGGACACGAGTCCGTATTAGCATTCTAGTAAATTGGGAAACGGCCTGTATTTAACAACAGCTCTGGAATGAATTTCTAGCTTCCACTTCCATAATCTGCTTTAACCCCTACGTTAGTTACAGTTGTACTGGACCAAGTAACCCATATCAGTCTAAGGGTTTTCAGTTCTGCTGAGTCTTTTTCTCCAGTTAATATAAAGTTAGGAAGATGCTGCAAAGTGAATTAAATTTTTCTCCCTAATATAATTTAACCCTAATAATCCAGTTTTAGTTTACTTCAAACCAAAGTCAGGATGAGATTAGTTCCGTCATGTTCCAGCTGAGAACGCTGCATCTTTCAGTTTCTCCCGTGTGTGAGCTTCGCTTCTGTCTGCGGTGAAAGCAGCTCTAAAAAGACCTGTTTGTGTGTTTCATAATTCTGACGAGTCATGTTTTCTGTTTTTCAGATATTTAGACGAGAAGGAAATGACCTCTCTATGACTCACAAGATCGGGCTGGTGGAGGCGCTGTGCGGCTTCCAGTTCATGCTGAAGCATTTGGATGGAAGACAGATTGTTGTCAAATATCCTGCAGGAAAAATCATCGAACCAGGTCAGACTTTTATCTTTTAATTCTGAATCAAGTTGCATTCTGAAGAAAGGAGCTACAAGTAGAAATGTGCTGTGGTGTTATATCAATAAATCAATAAGTTAAATGGACTCACAGCTCCATCGTTTATATTCCCTACTGACTAATGATACTGAATGTTGTTCTAACCGATCACCATCTCTTCCAGGCTCGGTCAGGGTGGTGCGGGGAGAAGGGATGCCACAATACAGAAACCCGTTTGAGAAAGGTGACTTGTTCATCAAGTTTGATGTCCAGTTTCCGGAAAACAACTGGATCAGCCCAGAGAAGCTCCTGGTATGACCCTTTTATCTTCTAATCCGACATCATTTACTTTCCTTTTTCTGCTATCCATGTTTAATTGGACCTCCTCCTTTAATTCCCCAATAAATATTGGATTTTCAGTATTTGGTCTTCAATAATAAATCCCCAGTGTTTGTTTTTATTTTTTTATTTTTTATGATTTATTTATGGTATTTTGGGTATTACAGATACATATTACACCTTATCCATGAAGTGAAATAATACAAAGATTAATTGTGTAAAACAAGGTACTAACAATTAAACAGTTTACCCAGTGTTTGTTTTTATTAATTTGTTATAAATGACCTCCAGAGCTTGACGGTTTGGTCAGCAGAAGCCCGTTTAGTGACTGGTTTGTTTATAATATGTTCTGTTTAGCAGAGAAACCAGTCAAACATGCCAGGCTGGTGTCCTGCATGAAAACTCCTCCGTTTTTTTAACAAGTAATGATTTCTGCATAAACTGTCACCAGAAAATGATTCTGATCGAAGGGAAACTCAAGTCTGTGTTTAACGGTTTTTGTTTGTTAGCATTTAATCTGAGACATTGTTAGTGGGTTACTGCTGATCTAATGCTTCCTAAACTCATCTTAGCTGACATTAGTACCTCGATCTATTACCACAGCCTGTAAAAAGCACTCTTTGGATTACAATATTGTTTAATTAAAATGACCCATTTGCTGCTAAATTTACAATCGTTAGACTTGGATTTCTTTTTTTAGACTTGGACAACTTTTATCGTCATTTTGTATACACATGTATACAAAACAAAAATACACAGTGTATACAAAATAGGGATGGAATGGTTTATGAAAACCGCCCGAACCGTTCGGTTCGACTGTCTCGGTTCGGTTCGCTTCGTTCGGTTCATGCGCTGCTCCTTTTTCTCATAGGCGAAGCGTTTACACTCCAGAGGAGAAGGTGGCGGTACTGCGATCAAAGCCAACCACCAGTAGTAAACAAGAAGAAGAAGCGAAGCAGCGTAGCCGGGTGTAGCAGAAAAAAATCAGTTGTTGTGGAGAATTGTGTGGGTATGGCGAGTGGGAAAGAACAGGCGTTGGAAGACGCGCCAGCAGCACTTTATAGGTCTGCTGTATGGGACCACTTTGCATTTAGAGTGACCTACGATGACGGCGGGAAGAAAGTTGTGGATAAAAGTGCAACAGTGTGCAAGCATTGTGCAACACATTTTGTTTATGCTAACAGCAGCACGACCAACATGTCATGCTAACCCCGAAATCCCACATACTCCGCTCCAGACCGCCTGCGCAAAGCAAAGCCTACAGCCTCCGCTGTGGCTCCCGTCCGCTCCGCTCTGAGTTCCTTGGAGATGGTAGAGGGCAGCGCGAGATGATTAAATTCAAAGCAGCAAAACATGCAGAAATGATCCAGGGTTTCCACGGATCATTTAAATAATTACAATTCATTAATTTTTTGGGATTTTTTCATTAATTTCATAAATTTTTATGGGATTTGGGGGGAACAATCAACATATACCGAACCAAAAACCATGACCACGAAACCGTGAATGAACCGAACCATGGATTTCTTGAACCGTTCCACCCCTAGTACAAAAAGACATTTTAGTACAGCTTTTCTGACAATAAATGAATGTTTCCATCATTCCAGTTTAGCAGTGATCAAATGTAAACTGTGGGAGAAAAAACATGGTGCAAAAAATGTATCGAAATGGAAGTTAAGAGCATTAATAAATTATAATAGATAATAATAAATTATATATGGTGCAAATATACAGTAGTTTTGGTTTGGTGTTATCAGTGTGATGTGATCTCCAAATCATGACATGATTTGGAGATTTTTTCCCCCCAACAGTTCAGCTGGAACAGAAATATTCCAAATCTATTTTCTGATGTCAGGCATCCCGCTGGTCTCAGAGGTTACAGCGTCCGTAAACATGCAGTTAAACAAAAATAGCATGTTTTGAATATTTGTGAAAGTATAATTATTTAAAGTGACCTAAGGCGGATATCTTCAACAGGGGTCCGCGACGGTACTGCATGGGGGTCACAAAAGTTTTCTTTGAATAAAGAGGGATTATTTGTTTATCAACACGGCGGATGCGCGCGCATCTTGACTGCAAAAAGTGCCGGGTCCTTTAAAGCGTCTGGTTGAATGTTGTGATTATACGCGGTTATTCAGCAGTTGCGATCTGCTAGCTAGCGATGTTGTCAGCGTACTACAACAGTTTATCACCTAGTGATAAAATAAGTTATGCTGCTAAATTAACACTAGTTAATGCAATACGTCTTAATGACCCATACGCGGTACATGCCGGTGAGTAGATAAATGACGAGAAAAAATGGCCCAAAATTCAGTGGCTGGACATTCATTCCCACTTGTGCAAAGTGCAATAGGCATTTCCACTACGAATGTGCAAAAGTAAAAAGAAAGGCTAAAGAATGGTATTGTGATCAGTGCAAAAAACAGAAAAACTAGAAAAAATGCACTCTGAAACATAGAGTTGTAACTGTACCTGTGCTTACCATTCAAAGTATGCACTAAGGTTCTCAGTGTGCATCTTATGACAAGAATGTTTAATGTTGTTTTTATTATTGGTTACATGCACAAGAATAAATATATTTCAATGTTTCCTTGACTCTTGAATACTTTATTAATATTTACACAGGGTTTACACAGGTATCAGCTGATTGAATTGTTTTATTTTCAATGGAAAAACACAAAGCAAAATATCTGCATATTTCATTTAAGATTTTGAAATATATCATACAACAGAGGAATGAGGAAAAATCTCAATATTCAAAAGCAAACTGGATACAACACACATTTTGAACCAAAACTGCTGCAAAATGTTTTAAACCACAGCTTTTGAATGTTCAATGAGCTTATGCAGTGAAAATACTTAGGCAATCATTTTTTTCAAAAAATAATATTCAATGACATTTAAACCTCAATTCATAGATGTTAACAACATTAAGGCCTTAATTTTGGCACAATTCAATTAAGGGCTTTTAATTTATTTTCTAGGGACTATGCATTTGCAAATGTTTGTCACTGCTGCACAAACAATTACAATGTCATCTAACAGGTCCGCCTGTGATAAAGGAATAACAGTAGTAAGAATTCGGAAAGTTTTCCATCTCCCTATTATTCTTTCAATGTGTATTTTAACATTGGACAAACGCCTCGATGTTTCCACCTCTTGAGCAGACAACTGCTTTTTACCTTTGGTAAAGTGAGGGATCCTCAGGGTAGCACCACGCAAGGCAAGCTCATCTCTAATGGTAAAACCACGATCTGCTAGTATCTCATCATTTACTTGTAGAAGGTCATAAAATCCAGACTCGGCTGTAAGTTGTTTATCAGAAACACGCCCACCCCAACCTGCAGACAGAAATGTAATTGCTCCTGCAGGTGACATGCCAACCAAATACTTAACCGTGTTATGGCTCTTATAATTTGAATATGTTTGGGCTCTGGCTGTTAAATTTGTTGGCCTGTTAATAAAAATTTCTGTGCAGTCAATAATGCACCTGCAACGCTGGTATTTAGGTTTGAAATATTTTTGCATATTCTTTAAAATAGCATGCTTACTTGGCCACTTGATTAAAGGTTTCAAAATCTGAGACATAATAGGCAGCCAACTTCTTTAGATTTTAGAGATGTCACATTCGTTAACATTAAATCTGAATGCAATATCCTTGTTGGTGAGTCCTAATCTGAGTTTCATGAGTACAGCCAAAAGATGATCCTCTAGGGTCAGAGAGCCACGGATGACCTCAACACTGTCCTTAATCGTCTGCAGGACCCAATTAAAGAGGGCACTGGTTAGACCTGTGAAAAACAGCACCTGTGCTGCTTTACACTGCAGTGACGCAAAAGAGAACTGTGCAGTCCCGAGCATTTCTTTTTATTGTTCATTCTCTGTTTTCAGTTTGTTGATGTCCTCACGCAGGTTATCACACTCTGTATGAAGTTGGCTGTACTTCAGCTGGAGGTCATCATGGACAGTCTGTGGGACCATACCTTCTGAAAAATAAATACAAATTTTATATTCTTATCTTTACAAAAAACAAATGGTTACATTCTGGGTGATCAGTCACACTGTGGGCAAATACCTGTTCGCAACAGATATGAACATTACTAACTGATTAATCACACTAGTACGGAAGAGGATAAGGGCCACTGGAAAAAAAAAGTCAACTGTTTTTTTTTTTTTATTTCCGTATAGTATGGGAAAAAAGTCAGAATTCTGAGAATAAAGTCAGAATTCTGAGAATAAAGTCAGAATTCTGTGATTAAAGTCAGAATTCTGTGATTAAAGTCAGAATTCTGTGATTAAAGTCAGAATTCTGTGATTAAAGTCAGAATTCTGTGATTAAAGTCAGAATTCTGTGAATAAAGTCAGAATTCTGTGAATAAAGTCAGAATTCTGAGAATAAAGTCAGAATTCTGTGATTAAAGTCAGAATTCTGTGATTAAAGTCAGAATTCTGTGATTAAAGTCAGAATTCTGTGATTAAAGTCAGAATTCTGTGATTAAAGTCAGAATTCTGTGATTAAAGTCAGAATTCTGTGATTAAAGTCAGAATTCTGTGATTAAAGTCAGAATTCTGTGAATAAAGTCAGAATTCTGACTTTAATCTCAGAATTCTGACTTTGTTCCCATGTTAAACTGAAATAAAATTTAAAAATTTTAAAAATAATTAATATGTTAACATTTAGGAACACACAGATCTACGTCCCTTTATAAAAATCCAAATGAGTTTGCAGGCCGTCTTGGTCAGGTTAGTAATAAGGTTTCATACCATTATATAGATCAGCACCAGCCTCTATTCCACACTCAGTTGGAGAGATGGAAGAGGGTGTACACTGATGTCCATCTTCTGGACACCTGCTGGGGGTTGCATCCCTTCTTCTTTTTCTCTTATATCTGAAACACACAGGAGAGAACAATCATTTAGTGCAAAAAAAAACCAAAAAAACAAAACAGTTCCACAGGTGTTATCTCCTAAATTCAAGTCCATGCAAATCACATGCTAAGTCATCCCAACTCTCCATATGAGATGTCTAATAAAAACTACATGCTCTGACCTTTAACCGGGGTAACCTATATAGCTACAATATATCAATATTTTTTCTTTGCACTTCCAGTCATACTATGTGGAGTCATGCTTGTAATCAGACAACAATCAAGCACACAGATGTGATACTTACCGCTCCAGTTTTGCACCACCGTCTTTGCCGGGCTGGATTGAGTATGGAAAGATAGACAGGACAAAGTCTGGGCTGTCGATGTCGTCTGATGCCTCTCCTGTACAAATAATGTATTGACGCAATCATCATCATCATCATCATCATCAACCTTTATTACAGACACTAGTCAATCAATTGAAAAGACAGCACACACAGAGAAGTTTAGACCAGACAACCTGATGATGTTAATGATAAAACTTATGGCTGACCCGATGAGTTGCAACTTGATAAGACTGAATCAAGGTACATTAGCTTGTATGCTAGTTATGCTCTAATGTGTTTTGTACGATTCATTAATCCCGTTTATATATGTAATACTTAATAATTGTATGTAAAACCATTGTTTGTAAAACCAGCGATGCCGTTTAGCTTTTTTATAGATAAGACTTACCTGATATAAAGTGATCGCTGCAGATTGATGCATTTTTAATCATCTGCTCGTTCCAATCGCTTCTTCTGATGGCTTGCGACCAAAGACGTCTCTTGTTTGCCTTGAAAGGGGTGCGAGTTGATGGGATTCGGTAAAACTTGCGCGTTTTATTGTTTTTTATCAAAACGGTTCGTGCAACCGACAGCACAACAAGACATGTTAGCGGCTCTTTCTGCAGGCGACATGCGCATTGGTGCCGGAAGTGACGTAGAGTGACGTTGCCTGATAATCCCTCTAAACTTTGTTTTTTATTATTCCCCATGCATTTTTTTCCACTAATTGAAATATCTTTAAATCCACATTAACATGAATTCAACACATTGTACAGGGGTTGACGTTAAGGGTTTTTACCTTTTTCTGAGAAAAAAGTTTGAATTCTGAGGATCAAAAGTTGGAATTCTGAGATTAAAGTCAGAAAAATGGCGCCGGCAACGCTTCTGGGTAGTTTTCATCGAATGTCTATGATTTTAAAGTAATTTTGAGTGATAAATACATTTTTTTGCGATCATAGCACTTGCCTGGCAAATTCAATTTGTACTCTCCCAACGATAAAAACTACTTGCCCTGGGAGATCGGGCGATGGTTAACATCGAGCCCTGCTGTAGTAAACAGAAAAATGGAGGCAGAAGATGTCTTTCAGTCATCAATGCACACATTCAGCGACACACAGGAGCTCTTTCAAGCTGGGCACCGTTTCATTCACAACACCTGTCCCATCAACCAGGAATCAGAAATACTTTAATAATGACTTTCATTAGATGAGTCCATCTGTGATGGAGTGACTATAGGACCAGTTTGATAGAACCCAATTTTTATACAATATATATAATAAGGGGGATCCCACTCCATCTCTCCATCAGTTTGGGGTCAATAGCCTGGAAAACAAAGGCAAAATGAGATGTATCATGTTTTGTTTTAACCAATAATACAGAATTATCAAGAAAACATCTATTGAGCTAGAGCTTGCGTTGGTGACAAACCCTCCCTGCTATTATGGGGAACACGTTCCTTTGATGTAATTTGTTTAAAGCTCCTCCCTCATGAGTATTTTCCATGTGCAGGAGCTGGAGGACATGCTGCCCTCGCGGTCGGAGCCGCCCATCATCACCGGCGACACTGAGGAAGTGGACCTGCAGGATTACGATGCCAGCCAGAGCTCATCGTCCGGCGGCCGCAGAGAAGCGTACCACGACAGCTCGGACGACGAAAGCGGCCATCATGGGCCGGGTGTGCAATGTGCCCATCAGTAATCTCCTGTTTTCAGACATGCACGCATCTATACATATGCATAAGTTGAAGAGCTGACAGGAGGTGTGTGAGCCTGAAATGACAGAATCCAGTACATGGTGCACCTTGTAATTGCTACTTCATGTCATTTACTCAAGTGCTGAAATCTTTTGATCTGCGTCTGAGGAAGTGGCCTGATGGGTAGCCAGATTATTACACTGCTCCTAGATACAAATTAAGATATATATATAGAAATAAGTTGATGCCCCTCCCCTTTACCTCAACCCACCCTGTCAGATCCTCTCATTTAATGGGAGCATCCAGAAAAGGTGAAACAAAAGCTTCTTGGTTGCAGAGTGTGTGACTTGCATTTTTGTTATAGTATTTACATTAATTTAAGAACTAACCGATGCGCACACAGGCGAAGCAGCGGAGCGATGTGACAAAACTATTATTTCTCATTGATTCATGGACTCAACTCAGCGACATTTGTAGGACTCGTTTCTGATTTTTACACCTTTTTTTTTTTCTTTGTAGGATTTTTATGTGTTTTTTCTTTATTTACATTTTAATTCAAGTAGAAATTTGGTTGTGTATATCATTCAAGTGGTTGTTGTTAAGCTTCATCAACTGCTACACTCTGAGCTGTGATTTTTAAAAAAAAAACATTAAATCATTAGTAAAATGGAGAAAAAAACCCCAACCCTGCTATAGTCTGTTTTCTGTGCTGAAACCATTTGCATGTAAAGGAGCTTTGGTTCTCGCACTTACCGAGCATAAAGTAAAGCAGCACTCTTCTTAAGAAATGTCTATGAAGTTGTGAAATAAACTGTTGAAATATCATGTTTGGTGCATCTTTTTTTCTTTCAATATTTGTAAAGAATAAGAACTGAATACTGTAGCTGTGAATGAGCTGTATTTCAAAGAGTTTTGGTTTTTGTCCAAGCTTGTTGTGATTTAATGCTTTTCCAGTCACCCTGTTGGTAATAAATCTGCTTAATTGTCCTGCATGCATTAGTTCATTTCCTGGGACATGCAACAACTTCTAGGTTTGTATAAACTTATGAGATCTATTGCTTTCAATCTGCTTGATCTGGCTTCCTTTGTGGTTTAGCACAATACCTGATGAGGAGTTTGCCATTTTAGGACACTGGTATCTTAACTGTAAGTGGAGACTACACAGTCCTGTGACTTCAGTGACTTTGAACTAGGGATGCACGATATTGGGATTTTAGCCGATATCCGATATGCCGATATTTTAAAACTCATGTAGCCAATAACCGATATCGATACCGATGTTAAAGCTGGACAAAAATAAGTAGTCATTGAAAATAGCAGTTTTATTATCCATTTCTGACACTTTGAAAAATAATCTATTCAAATATATTTTCATATGCTGATATCAAATTGATTTTTATAAACATGGTATCGATCTATTTTACTTTTTAAAATCTCGTGAAATTTCATCGTTCTGTTACAAACTCGTGATATTTTGCAAATTCTTGAGATTTTGTTAGTAAATTAGATTGATACCGCGTCAATATATCAACATATAAAAATATGGCGAATTTTCGGGGGATTTCATAGCATAACGATGACATATAGCAATATTTCATCAGTAAAAGAGATTGATATGGTGTTTTTAAATGGCAATATATCAGCATATGAAGATATTGTGATATTTTAATGTATCAATATTTTTTCCCTCGTCATTAGAAGTTTTTAAGTCTGAAAGGTTTTTGAGGAAGAAGTAGTAGTTTTTATTTTTGTTTTTAGATTTTAGAAACTCAGAAGCTGATCAAATATCGGGTTAAATATCGGTGGGGTGGCCAATGTCCGATATTCAGTTTTGGGGCCGATTATATCGTGCATCCCTATTTTGAACATGAGCCTCCAGAAAACTTGGACCTTGATTTTTACAATAAATGATCAGTCACATTAAAATATTCCAGAGGTGAAGAAAATATCAAAAGGATTAACCATATCTAAGAGCGGAGGTCACGGATTCGTGGATCGCAGTCCGGACCCACGTGCTGGCTTATTCGGACCCAACCTGATTTAAGACATAAATTACAGGTGCTGGTCATAAAATTAGAATATCATGAAAAAGTAGATTGATTTCAGTAATTCCATTTAAAAAGTGAAACTTGTATATTATATTCATACATTACATACAAACTCATATATTTCAGATGTTTATTTTGTTTAATTTTGATGATTACAAATGACAACAAATGAAAATCTCAAATTCATCATATCAGAAAATTAGAATATTACTGAAGACCAATAAAAACAAAGGATTTATAGAAATGTTGGCCAACTGAAAAGTATGAACATGAAAAGTATGAGCATGTACAGCACTCAATATTTAGTTGGGCCTCCTTTGGCCTGTATTACTGCAGCAATGCAGCGTGGCATGGAGTCGATCAGTCTGTGGCACTGCTCAGGTGTTATGATAGCCCAGGTTGCTCTAATAGTGGCTTTTAGCTCTTCTGAATTGTTGGGTCTGGTGTATTGCATCTTCTTCTTCACAATACCCCATAGATTTTCTATGGGGTTAAGGTCAGGAGAGTTTGCTGGCCAATTAAGAACAGGGATACCATGGTCCTTCAACCAGGTACTGGTAGCTTTGGCACTGTGTGCAGGTGCCAAGTCCTGTTGGAAAATGAAATCTGCATCTCCAAAAAGTTGGTCAGCTGCAGGAAGCATGAAGTGCTCTAAAACTTCCTGGTATGTGGCTGCGTTGACCCTGGACCTCAGAAAACACAATGGACCAACACCAGCAGATGACATGGCACCCCAAACCATCACTGACTGTGGAAACTTTACACTGGACTTCAAGCAACGTGGATGAAGTGCCTCTCTTCTTTTCCTCCAGACTCTGGGACCTTGATTTCCAAAGGAAATGCAAAATTTACTTTCATCAGAGAACATGACTTTGGACCACTCACCAGCAGTCCAGTCCTGTTTCTCTTTAGCCCAGGCAAGACGCTTCTGACGCTGTCTGTGGTTCAAGAGTGGCTTGACACAAGGAATGCGACAGCAGAAACCCATGTCTTTCATACGTCTGTGTGTGGTGGTTCTTGAAGCACTCACTCCAGCTGCAGTCCACTCTTTGTGAATCTCCCCCACATTTTTGAATGGGTTTTGTTTCACAATCCTCTCCAGGGTGCGGTTATCTCTCTTGCTTGTACACTTTTTTCGACCACATCTTTTCCTTCCCTTCGCCTCTCTATTAATGTGCTTGGACACTGAGCTCTGTGAACAGCCAGCCTCTTTAGCGATGACCTTTTGTGTCTTGCCCTCCTTGTGCAAGGTGTCGATGGTCGTCTTTTGGACAACTGTCAAGTCAGCAGTCTTCCCCATGATTGTGTAGCCTATAGAACTAGACTGAAAGACCATTTAAAGGCTTTTGCAGGGGGTTTGAGTTAATTAGCTGATTAGAGTGTGGCACCAGGGGCCATCAATTTTGAACCTTTTCACAATATTCTAATTTTCTGATATGATGAATTTGAGATTTTCATTTGTTGTCATTTGTAATCATCAAAATTAAACAAAATAAACATCTGAAATATATGAGTTTGTATGTAATGTATGAATATAATATACAAGTTTCACTTTTTAAATGGAATTACTGAAATCAATCTACTTTTTCATGATATTCTAATTTTATGACCAGCACCTGTACAGATGACAGTGTTTAACTTCACTTGTGCCCTTCTTTCCCATCGCCAGGCTTGCGGCGATGGGAAAGAAGGAGAAGACGACGAGAAAAGGAGAGCAGAGAAAGTGTGGACTGCTGGAAGAACTGTGGTGAACTGGTGAAAGAAAAGTGAAAGTCAAAGATGACCCTGCACATTTAGAGGATGTTTGGCTCAACCTGCTGCTGTGAAGCAGGATTCTCCACCATGAACAGAATCAAAAATAAATCTGGATCCAGGCTCAAAATGAGCACCTTGATCTGTGCTTTAGAATGGCTTAGTCTCCATTCAAACCCAGGTTTAAAGCCTTGCAGGGCAGCCTAAAGCCCACTGCCAACATTAAGACAGTAAAAAGAAAGGAAAAAACAAACGCTCAGTTCAGGGGTTTAATAAAATATGGGAATCAGGAAATTGTCTGTATACCAAACTGGACGACTGTTGCTCTCTCCTTAAATAAACACGTTTTGACAAAAAATATATATATTTGTTTTATTTAAAGATGCAATGTATAACATGGATGCATAAAAACATTTTATTTCAATGTTAAATTCTGTTTAAAGTCACATTATAATCAAAAATGTCTCTGGACCTTTACTGGTTGATGATTTTCTTTATTCTTTATTAGAACATAAAACACATTTTATATAATTTATATTGAGAAAGGTCAGGTTGGCTGTAGACTGTAATACTGGTCAAGATTTCATTCAAAAGTTCACTCAAAAAAGAAAATAAACATTTGCAAAGTAGGCTTCCTCCCCTTTATAATATGTAGGTAAAAGGAAGAGCAAAGAGAACAGGAAGGCTACAGGGAGCAGATGGGAGGACCAGCTTCACCTTCAAGGCTGCAGAGGAGCTGAATAATCTGTTCAGAAACACCAAGGTCATTAATGAAGATAATAATCCAAACTATTCAGTGAAGATTTGATTTATGATTATTGCAAAAAGGTATTTTTCTCCTTTTGCTGTAGTTTTATATATGTGGAACAAACTTCCTGCAAAAAGCAAAATAATCCTGAGATAGTAGTAAATTAGCCGTTGAATATCTAACCTGGATTAATTAAAGGGATAATGTGTATTTCAGGCCACATAATTGTTGGAAATGTGTGCAGTTTTAAGACAAATATGAAGGAAATGTTGCTACCTGTACCTGTGAAAGCAAAGGCCGTGACTTTTTAGTGATATGTTCAATTTAACTTTAGTTCTTTAAGCGAGTTCAGCTTAAATTAGCTTTAAACAGAAGCTGAATGAGGTCATCATTTGTACTTCGCACTATTACGTTGAATATGTCAGCTAATTATTAATGATGAAGAAATGTACTTCTAAGACATCGAGTAATCTGCTTAGAGATCTCTGTAAGCTATTAATAAGCCAGGATAGGTGGGTGAGATGTTTTTGTGTCTTATATTCAGGAATTACGTCGTCAGTGGCGCCGTGGCTTAGTTGGTTAAAGCGCCTGTCTAGTAAACAGGAGATCCTGGGTTCGAATCCCAGCGGTGCCTTTTGTGAATCAAATTTTTTCCCCCCAGCCTTAATCTGCTGAATGTGTTGTTTTTTTGGCCTTTAGGATGCCAACCACACACTTACGCTCACAGATCTATGTCTTGCAAATAAACTCAAATAATGGCTTTTTGAAAATGTAGAAAGGTAAATGAAAAAAATTGTTGCGCATTACGTAGGATAAAACTGTGTTAGGTTACTCTTTATTATGGAAAGGACGGAGAATAGCATGTGGCCGAGATGTTTGGTGCATATGGGTGGCATTCGCTGATCAGAGAAGGATTATGATCGGAAATAGATCGAAACAGGTGATCCAATCGATCTAATTTAATAAGTAGTGGCGAACAGCTCCCTCATCTGGAGGACTGAAGAATTACAAGTAACACCAGTAGAAGAAGCTGTGTCATGAAATGTACACAGATAAAACTATTATCTGAACATGTAAATCTGTGATTAAATTGTTACATTTGGAAAAAAAAGCCAACACAAATTAAATCCATAACTGTTAAATTCATAAAACTGTTTCATAATTTATACTTTTTTTTATTTTTTCATTGCTATTTAGCTGCATCTAGAGAAATGTTCTTATACATGCCTAACACTTTCTTAGGTACACCTTGATAAGGTTTGAAACTCTTTAAAGGATACAGAACTTTAAACCTTATCCTTCTGGACAGGGTCCATCAATTTGTCCACCAAAGGAATGGACAACCGTACAAGCACTTATTAACACCAGTAAGGTTTCAGAGGTCAATTGACCTCACATACATATGCAATTAAATTTGAAATCCCTCTTCTCACATATAAAGCTGTAAATAACCACCGTCTCCACCCTATGTCAGATCTGATTTGATCCATATTTTTCTAACATAACACTTTGCTCTCAGTCTGCAGGTTTACAGGTTCATACAGGCTCCTCTCCTGTGGAGACGACTACCAGTTTTATTCTGAAGACTTCCTGTCAACTTTTAAGGCTAGGCTTAAAACATCCCTTTTTCATAAAACTTATAGTTAAAGTGGCTCAGGTTATCTTTTGGTATCCTCGTGCTGCTATAGGCTAATAACGCTTGAGAACATTAAAGCATTTGTTCCTCATTTTGCTTCATTCTACCTCTGTTCCACCAAATCTGGATTACTTCTTTCTTCAGCTTTATGTTCTCGCTGCTTTTCCTCATCATTTTAGCTGTATCTGGTTTGGTTCTCTTTGGCTGCGACACCATCCTGGAGGGAATGATCAGCTGTGCTGCTGTCATCAACAACTTCCATCATAGGTGATAGTGTTAGGCCTGGTTTACAGTGTTGAGTCCTGTTTCTCTCCTAGATTTAGCTATGGGCCCAGCTTTTTCTGTGACTGTTTGTGTTCTCTTCAATCATTTTTTTATATTAAAAACAGCTAAGAACTGCTTAGCTGTTTGTTTCCTAGACAAAGTTAGTTTACAATGAAAAAATTAATTGTGAAACACTGAATATTCTTGGGAGAACCCAGGCTTTCATGAGGACTCATAATACAGCATAACTTGCTGTATAACCATTCCACAAACAACAGCTCAAATTGAAGTAGTGTAAGTGAAATATCAAGTATAGGGTCTGTGTAGAAATGAGGGTTTGCCCTGATATCATATTTTTAACCACATGGGGGCAGCAGTGCAACATAAAGGTTTCTACTCTATTGGCTCAGGTTAATTTTATTTGACCTAAACAAACTATACTTTAAATCAAATGTATGCTTTATTTTGGTACCATGTTGCTTATGAATTTTGCTCACTCTTAAGGTAACTTGAACTGAAATTATTTCAAACAAATGAGAATGAAATTAAATCATGCTTAATGGATGCAGTGCCTTGTAGAAGAATTAATGCTTTGTGATCTTTCATGCAACTGGTGATTTTTATAACCACAAACTTCAAAGTGTTGTGTTTTATTTGACACGAGGAGGGACATGAAAAACAATGGAAGGAAATTTATTTTTTTTCCCCCACCAAAAAGTGGTTTACAATTACCAATTGTGTGAAATCTTACCTCAGTTTAAATAATTTTGTCCTCAGACCTCAGAGGTTAGAACCCTCCAGACCACTCAGGTCTTCTGGCTCCAGCCTGCTCTGCAGACCTAGAACCAGAACTAAACATGGAGAAGCAGCATTTAGTTCCTATGCTCCACTTATCTGGAACAAACTTCCAGAAAACTGTAAAAGTGCGGAAAGCCTGAGTTCCTTTAAATCAAGACTAAAAACACATTTGTTTAGGATTGCCTTCAACTGTTCTAGTTAAACAGTTCAACTAAAACATATTTTCTTTGGTCCAACTGTTTTTAATATTCTTTTTTGTTTCTGCACTTTTTATTTTATTTTATTTTTTCCTACTTGCTTTGATTCTGTTTTATCTTCCTGTATTTTAATCATGTAAAGCACTTTGCATTGTCTTTGTACTGAATTGTGCTATACAAATAAATTTGCCTTGCCTTGCAGGTATCTTGATATGAGACTTATTGCAGATATCGGTCCATTCTCTCTTTTAAAGCCCTTTCTAACATTATACAGTAGAAAATAAATAATAAAAGTATGCAGGATTCATGCTAACATCTTATCGGGTCAATATGGGTCAATTCTCCAAGTTGCAATATCAGTATCATATCATATAAAATGGATTGGTTCACCCCTCTAGAAAACTTGATTAAACATCATGAAGACCAATGCACACAGGAGGCAAAATATAGATATGTTTAAAAGTGGGTTTATTTTTAAATTTGACATAACCGCCCACCTGAAAAGACAGACTGAGCAACGGTTGTATTAAATATGTGATTAAATGAAACTTGTTTTACTTTATGCAAAACATTGAACAAAATAGGAAGAAATAAACATTATATATCCATGATGAAACACAGTGGTGGCAGCATCAGGCTGTAGGGATGTTGTTTTTTTTAGCTTTGTAAAGTTTGTAAAGTAATCCTACAAGAAGACGTAAGACTAATAATTCTTTATAGGAATAATTTATAGGAAAGGGGTAGAAACATACCCATAATAACAGTGAAATATAGCCTATATATGCATATATTTGCAGAAACTTGTAAAAATCATTTATAATTTGCCAATTCACAATTCTGGCCAGTTCTTGTAAACTGAAAAAAATAATGCAACCACATTTGGCATTTAGTTAATCATATTTTAACAAAATTGTTTTATGTCCTCCACTGCTATTATGAAACAATTGTGTTAAAGTAACTAAATATGATTAAGTAAATGCCAAAAACTGTTGCATTATTTTTTCAGTGTAGTTCTCCCCATATGCAACACTACGGAGGAGGATTAGGGCCCCTGGGAAAAAAAAAAAGTTAACTGATTTTTTAAATTTTATTTCAGTATAGTATGGAAAAAAAGTCAGAATTCTGACTTTAATCTCAGAATTCTGACTTTTTGTTAAAATTAAAATTAATCTCAGAATTCTGACTTTTTTCTCAGAATTCTGACTTTAATCTCAGAATTCTGACTTTAATCTCAGAATTCTGACTTTTTTCTCAGAATTCTGACTTTTTTCTCAGAATTCTGAGATTAAAGTCAGAATTCTGAGATTAATTTTAATTTTAACAAAAAGTCAGAATTCTGAGAAAAAAGTCAGAATTCTGACTTTTTTCTCAGAATTCTGACTTTTTTCTCAGAATTCTGACTTTTTGTTAAAATTAAAATTAATCTCAGAATTCTGACTTTTTTCCCATACTAAACTGAAATCAGTTAACTTTTTTTTTTTTCTTCAGTGGCCCTAATCCTCTTCCGTACAACACAGTGTGAGGTTGGAATGAACTTTTGTGAGAAAATGAACTATAAAGAGAAAATTATTAATTTAAGCTTTTAAAATAAAACATAAGCAGGATGTAATCACGTGCTCTTAATTTGAAGAGATGGAAGCTTTTATTTTGAAGAGTCAAAGCGGACGCCGCGTGCTTTAGTCTGTCTACCTTGACCTTTGCTTCCCTGCTTGACTCTTCAAAGGACACAATGCATCTCCTCCGCGCGGAGCCGGCGGCTGACAGCAGCTGCTGGAGCTTCGCTGCGTCCGTGATGCTGAGCAGAGCGCGGAGCCCCTGATCCTGAGGGGACCATGGGGCCCACAGAGCCGCTGCTGCTGCTGCTGATAGGTCTGCTGTGGAGCCGCTGCGCCCCGCTCTGTGCAGGTGAGAAACAACAATGCCTCCATCAGCCTATAGATCCCTGTTTTTACCCCCACAGAGGGAGACTTTTAATGGAGCAGAACGTTTGTTGTTTGTTTTTATGTTTATTTCTCCATCTTTGATTTTCGCCGCACCTGGCGTTTGATCATTGCTTTGAACCGAGCCGCTGACACCTGAATAAACCCTGCTGGGATTGTTTCTGCTGCTGACAGATCAGCATTGAGAGATTTCACTGTTGTGACCTGGTGGAGTGGAAGCAGTGTCATTCATCCTGCTGAGACCCGCCGTGGCATTGATCTGTGGTGCCTAAATGATCAGGGGTGTAGAAACATGGATGCTCTTTCACAAATGTGATGCTGCTATCAGCATTACATCACTGCCTCTCTGCAGCCAGTCAGCCCCTATCCTCCTCCTCCTCCTCCCGTCTCTGTTATCATACACTGCAACTTACTGGAATGAAAATGCTCCTTATGGGTCTCTGTGTTTGCATGGGTGTGTATGGAGATAATGATTCACACACCTTAGTTAGAAGCTTTTATTTGCAGGATTCTTTCCATCTCCCCATAATGTACAGGAAACATGCGTTATGTCATGCTTCCAGGCAGACCTCTGCAGAAACTCCTCATGGGCATGGATGTCATTCATTTGGGGGCTTTTAATGGTGGGTGGATTGTTAATGTGATTAAAAACCAGATCTGTGCAAGGAAACCAACTAATTCCTCCCTGGAGGGTGCTTAAATGTCTGGCCGGAACCATGCCAGACGCTTTTTGTAAAAGACAAAATACACCCCACCCTCGAAAAACAAAAAAAAATGATTGTGATTATTTTATTGCAGACACCGAACTGCATTTCAAACCCAAAAGGCAGTAAAATAAAAATGAAGTTGTCACCACTGATTACAAAAGTTCATACAAAATTAACTTTCCATTACAAACGTTTAGATTTTAGTTTAGAACGTGACATGTTTTGTCTTTAAGGGGATCATAGAATGCAAACCAGAGTTTCCATTGTCATAGATGAATAACGATAGTTCAGTGGGTAAAATGGACGTACAGGGAAGTTCAAACTAACCTGACTCTGTCAGATGGATTTGCTCCGCATATCCATCTGGAAACCTTCCATTGAAGTAATTTTGGGAAGGGGCGAAAATACTGGTTAGCTGATTGGCCTATGTTGGTGATAGACGGGCCAAATAAACCAATCAGATCAACGAAGCATATGACGTCCTAACAGAGCGACGGCGAAAACACAACCACAAGCCAGGCTACTCTTGCTGAAACCAGTCGGGAGAAGAGCAAAAACATCTTTTCCTCTGAGAAAAGCCTCCAGAGCAGTGTTTTGCTCTTCTTTCAGTGAAGAAATACTCTGTAATTCCGATAAAACTTGCTCGATAGCCACGCTAACGCTAGTTTCATCGACTGAAGCCGCCATGTTAGACTGAACTGTTGCGCTTCTCGTTGCGTCACACCTTAACCCGCCTCAAAGCCAACGCTGATTGGACGTTCGTTTGGTGAACGGCTCCAAATTTTCTTTAACGGAAAGTAGCCAGACTGATCTGCGAATGAAACCTTGAAAGCTCGCGAGATCAGGATGGTCTCACGAGGCTAGGTTCAAACCCCATCAACACCTCCTTTCTCTGCAAATCTCACAATCCTAAACTTCCACCATAAAACAGGCGAATCCAAACGAAGCCCTGAGTTGATGTAAACTCGGGGATGTTGCCTTATTTGGTTCTGGCCTGTACTTTTGTCACGCCCCCAAATTGACATACGGACCAGCCCACTGGCCCAAGGGGGGTGGGGGTATGAAGTGTTGACTGCCGGACCACTGACTGGACCGGACCTCAGCAAAGAGCCATGAGCCGCCCGTCCTCAAGCAGAGGAGGGAGGTAATAAGGTAGGCGGGGGGAAGCACGGAGCCGCCGGTGTCCAGGCTACCGTCACCGGGTCGGGTTTGTTCGCTCCATCCCCCGCTGGCTCCCTGCCCCCGTCCACCGAGGGTTCCTGTACCAGCGACTACGTGCTGCACTGTAGGCAACCAAAATCCCGGATGATTTTGAAATTCCCCCCGGACATTTTTTTAGGTATGAAAAGTAGGACATGTCCTGAAAAAAAGAGGGCATCTGGTCACCCTACCATATCAACAATTTGATGTTTCAGTGAGTGAGTGCTTGTTGCTATGATACCTTTGATCAGCAGCTTTGCTCGTTGTAAACCAACCAATCAGAGCACAGCTCATCTAAATATTCATGATCATTCCATAAAAGGAAGAAAACCTGTCGTTTTATTCTAGGGCTTTTAACCAGGCTGCATTAGGGCTCATAGAACAGCTAATATGCCATTTTCAGCCAAAACAATGTTACACATTCAGAGACCTAAAGGACCAAATACCCTATAGAATCATTCTATCAGGTGTCTTAGAACGAGCACTGGACATGATGGCCAGATGAGAACATTATGTACTGATAGAGGAACTTCTAATTGACTCAGTTCTTCCTGAAATCATGACCTGTGGCCAAAACCATTATCCTTCCGCCGCTTTGCTTACAGCTGGTGTGAAGTGTTAAACAGAAAGGTTCAAACGAAGCTCCAGAGTCGCTGCACCAACATTCCGCAGCTCTGCTCCATCCTCCCCAAACATCTTCGCCCTGTGCTGAGCCAGACATGTCCTTCTCGTCGATATCCATCACTTAGCTTTTAATGACCCCCGCCTGCATCACTCTGCTGCTGCTGACTTCACTGATAAAGCATAAAAACAAGCTCACACACACTCAGCAAACCACCCCAGTCTGGATAATCTCTGATCTGCAGCCGAGTTGTTGGTCTGCCTCTGTTTCTCCCAAGCTTTTAGTTAGATTAGTTCTTAGATCAGCCTCTATTTCCTTTCTAGATGTTTTTCGTTCTTCTTGTGAACAGAAGGAGTGGAGATTTTAGGCCCTTTTATCAGACGTTTAGAAGAGGAAGGCTGTTTCTGATGCGTCTGCGTTGCAAAAACAATTGGATCCCTGTTTACTGTTCCTAGAGCTCATCCTCAGCACCTCACTCTGATGTCGTTTGGTCCCTGGAGCAATGATGCGATGGCTGCAGAGCTGCTGTTGCCTTGGCGGCCACTTTAATTCCTTCCACTTCTGTTTCTGACTTCGTTTCAGCAACAGTTAAAAAAAAAAAAAAATCTCTAGGTGGATTTCAAACATTCTGGTTCATTGAAATGTGAGCTGCTGGAGCATCTGTTCTTAAAAAGGTCACCATTTCAGTTATTTTATTCATATTTTATTGCATACAGTGTTTGTTTCAATACAAATATGTTTATTTTGATTACTGAAACGAAACAAAAAAAGTTTCTAGGTGATAAATGCTACGTTGCGGCCCCAAACTGCTGAGAAACAGACAGTTTAAAACCATTAGGAAGGAGTATAAGCCGTAAAGGATGATTGCTGAATAAGCTGTTGCTAAATGGCTTTAAGTGTGTTTATGGAAAATTAAGTGGCAGGAAAAAGTCTGTTAGAAATCGTGTAAAAGCAGCAGGCTTAATGTATTACAGGACATGAGTGACAACTATTGCATGCAACGTTTTTAAGATTGTTTTATCAAGATAAAATAATGACGTGTGATGCGTCTTGCAGCAGCCTGCACAGAGCAGGTAGAGGTCCACACAGAGAGGAGGGGGGTTCTCTACAGTCCATCTTGGCCTTTAAATTATCCACCTGGCCTCAACTGCAGCTGGCGTATCCAAGGAAGCCCAGGAGAGGTAATCACCATCAGGTAGGACCACCCCTGCACACGCTCTGCAACTTTCCATTTGCCCAAAGCGAGCGTCAACATGATCCATCCTGTGCTCCAGCTTCCGTAACTTTGACCTCATGGAGTCAGGAGGATGTATGGGCGACTGGCTCCTGCTGACGCCGTCGTGGAGCGGAGAATCCAGGTTGTGTGGCTCCACGCTGCCTCCTCCTTTTATTTCCAGCAGGGGGCGCGTTTGGCTCTACTTCCACTCCAAGGCCAACAGCTCAGGGCAAGCCCAGGGCTTCCGTCTCTCCTACATCAGAGGTAAGGTGACACATTGCACAACTTGCTGCTGGAGTCATTGCATGAAACCTTCCCTCTCTCATTTTCTATGTCTTAGTTGGCAACTTGTTTCAGTCTGTCTGAGTGAATCCTTCAAAGTCAATGACTCGATGCAATCTGGAGGTTTTCCTTTGATGGATCATCTATGGAAGTAAATCTGTGCCACTGGGATTTAAATAGAAAATGTCACTGAAATATAAATGTTGTATGTTTGTATTTACTCTCTGTGTTAAAATATATTCACAAAACATTTTCAACCTAAAAAAATAAAATTCATTGTCACTATATCTATATAGTTGAAATTGTATTTGGTATTTTCGCTTCAAGCTAAAAATTCACAATACTATTTCACTGTTAATACATTTTCAATACCTGTTGTTTTTTTTTTTTTGACTTTTCAGTGTTAAAAAAGCAGCATATAAAAAATTCAGCCTTTCAAAATTCAAACGCAATGTTTTCAGCAACTAAGATTCAACTGCCTCAATTTCACTGTGTTAAATTCAGCATCTAAATTCAGTGTAATTTAGATGCTGAATTATATAGTATTATATACTATATATTATATATTATATAGTAGTAATGTGAATTTTTAGCTTGAAGTAAAAAGAAATTAAATTTCAACTATATAGATATAGCGACAATGAATTTTTCACATTTTTTTACTACAGAAAGAGTAAGTACAAACATACAACATTTATATTTCAGTGACATTTTTAATTTAAATCCCAGTGGCACAGATTTACTTCCATAATCATGTCTGGATGATCTTGACTGTATTGTCTACCTGGCTGTGTGTTTCCTGGATGGGGCCGCCTTTTACAGCTGCTTTTTGTGTCTCTGCTTCTGTCTCCTTGAACGCCAGTCGGCCTCAGCAGATGGCCGCTCACACTGAGCCTGGTTCTAATGGAGGTTTCTTCCTGTTAAAAGGAGTTTTTCCTCTCCACTGTCACTACAAGCATGCTAAGTGTGACGGATTGAATTTGAGTCAATGAGTCGATGCAATCAACTGGTTTTCCTTAGATAGAAAACTTTGAATCAATCTGACTGGATGATCTGGTGAACTGGAAAGTGCCTTTAAATGACATGTTGTGAATTGGAGCTATAGAAATAAACTGAATTGACTCGATTCTTGTTACGACCTAAACTTGGTTTTCTTTCATTTGATGTGACTAACCAACAAAAAGTAGTGTGTGATTGGAAACCAAGTTTTTACAAATCATAATCTGAAAGTCGGACATATATTTCAGAATCAATACTTTGTAGCGGCACCTTCGTTTTGGGCTATGAAAGAATTTGAATACTAGAAGCTGACATTTTTTAACCTGTCAACAGCCAGATGCATGTCTCGCTCCGCCCAGCTCCACTCACATACATCTGGAACACCGCTCATTGAAAGTGATTTCCCCAACCAAATTTATGGTCTGGCCAATCAGGACGCAGGGCGGGTGTGTCCTGGAGTGGAGAAGCGACCCTGAGATTCCAACAACAATGGCGGCTCGCATTGAGGAAGCAAGCGTTAGCATTGATGCTGCTATTTCTTCTGTGTTATCCAATCTATCTGATATTGTTTCATTAAAAGAACATCAGAGAACGGCTTTGAGGGCTTTTGTTGGTGGAAACGATGTTTTCGCCCTTCTCCCGACCGGATTTGGCAAGAGCTTGATCTACCAAATGGCTCCTCCTCTCACAGCGTCACGGGTTAGCTTCGGTGTGAGTGGTTGAAATAGCACGTCAATAAAGATGACAGACAAGTGGCTTATCCAATCATATGCAAGGAGTTTTGATAAGGCCCAGCCTTCAGTAAAGGCAATTCCTTCGGGGGGTTCCCAGATGTATGTGAGTGGAGCTGGGCAGAGCGAGACATGCATCTGGCTGTAGTCAGGTTAGACATTTTTGTTTTTCCTTTTCAAATTAGCTCAGGTTGTCTTAGCTAGAGAAGTTTCATGTTCATTTGCTAGTGGAGAATCTCATAATGTATATAAGTCTGGATCCAGGGCTGCGACTAACATTACACTGCTACACCATCTGTCACTGCACCAGTCAGGGTTGCAGTGGGGCTGCAGTGGTGCCAACACCTCCAGCAGTCTATTACAGAAAGGCGGTGTACTCCCCAGACAAGTCGCCAGTTCATCGCAGGGCAGCACGGAATCAATTAGTGATCAGATAGCATAATACGCTTTAAATATGATTTTATATGGAAGTTGAACCATATGAGCTGACATTATGCCCCTATAGGGTTCTGGACAGAGCTTCTCCTTGCTGTCCATTCTGCTATATTCCTGTTTTCATGATGACTGAGTGGATGTGCTCTCTTCGTCCTCTGGCATGGGAGCTGCCTTGGAGCTCGTCTGCCTGGCTGTGTGTTTCCTGGACGGGGCCGCCTTTTACAGCTGCTTTTTGTATCTCTGCTTCTGTCTCCTTGAACCCCAGTCGGCCTCGGCAGATGGCCGCTCACACTGAGCCTGGTTCTGCTGGAGGTTTCTTCCTGTTAAAAGGGAGTTTTTCCTCTCCACTGTCGCTACAAGCATGCTTAGTGTGGGGGATTGTATTTGAGTCAATGAGTCAATGCAATCAACTGGTTTTCCTTAGATAGAAAACTTTGTATCAATTTGACTGTATGATCTGGTTGAACTGTAAAGTGCCTTGAGATGACATGTGTTGTGAATTTGGCGCTATATAAATAAACTGAATTGAATTGAATTGAAATTGAATTGATGCTAAATGGTAAATGACCTGTACTTATATAGCGCCTTTATTCAAGCCAGGAGATTTGACCAAAGCGCTTTACACTACATTCATTCATGCACACACTCACACACTGATGGTGGCAAGCTACATTGTAGCCACAGCTGCCCTGGGGCTCACTGACAGAAGCGGGGCTGCCGTACACTGGCGCCACCAGGCCCTCTGACCACCATCAGTAGACAATGCAGGTGAAGTGTCTTGCCCAAGGACACAACGACAGTCGGAGTCGGGGCTTGAACCGTCAATCCTTAGATTTCAGGGCAAACTCCCACATCCGACGCCACTGTCGCCCCTTTTGCTATTCTAATGTTCTCTAATATTGGAGAAACCAAACTACCTTTTCACAGACGCAAGACCCAACACAGAAGAGCGCCCTCCTCTGGACAAGACTTTGCAGTACATCTACACCTTATGGGCAAACGACATTCTTTGGAGGACCAGAATGTTCACATTTTGGAAAAAGAAACAAGTGGTTTGAGAGGGGTGTGAAGGAAGCCATCTATGTTAGGAAAGAAAAAAACAGCCTTAAACAGAGGGGGCGGACTCAGGTTTCAGGTTTCAAAAACCTACAATGCCACAATTGAGTTGATTCCTTCCTGTTATCATCGTACAGGAGAGCGGAGGACCCTGCCTATTCAGCCAGGCTAACAATTCCCTTTAACAACCAACCTTTCAGACTCTCAGACGGGTACGGGGCATTGCAGGCTAACAGAATAAGCCAAACGACCCCCATTCCAAAGGAGTAGACCCGTTCGTCTGTTTCATTTTGAAAACAAAAACAAGGCTTTGTTGGGCTAATGTATAAAACCTTGAACTCAACACTGTTTCTGACATTTTGAATTGAAAAAGCTTCTTGGATGGGAAGCGTAACTTCTTCAGACTTGGAAACCATGTCCAGTGGATTGTTTTTAATTTTCTTTTTTGGAATTTCTATTGTTCTCTAATTAAACTGTCAGGCCTTCAGAAAACAGCTTGATTTATATAAGATTCCCTACAGGGAGTCTTCTTACTGTTTTTCATTTCAGAGTCTGTGTTTCTGCCCTCTGCAGGCCACCTGGGTCAGAGCAGCTGCCAGTCCGACGAGTTCCTATGTGGGAATGGGAAGTGTCTTCCTCGTTCTTGGAAATGCAACGGACAGGATGAATGCGGCGACGCCACAGACGAACACGGCTGCTTCGCGCCTCCCACCGAGCCCCTCCCCAGTCTCTGCCCCCCAGGCTCGCTGCCGTGTACGGAGGCCCAGACCACCCGCTGTCTGCCGGCCTCCCTGCGCTGCAACGGAGACAGAGACTGTCGGGATGGAAGCGACGAGCTGCATTGTCCAGACACCACCTGCGGCAAACGACTGGGGAACTTTTACGGCTCGTTTGCCTCTCCTGACTTTTTCCACGCTGACCGAAGCTCTGTGGCTGAGCTGAGATGCTCCTGGTTGCTGGACACTCAGGACCCAAAGCCCATCATGCTGCAGCTGGACCTGCAGCTTGGGCCTGGAGATTCCCTTCATGTTTACGATGGCCTGTTGCAGCGGGCTGAGCATCTCTTACAGGTGCTGTCGCATCATAACAATCGGCGGCCGGCGCTGCTGGAGTCGAGCCGAGGCCAGATGAGTGTTCTGTACATGGCGCAGCCTCACAGCCCTGGTCGGGGCTTTAATGCTACTTATCAGGTGCATCTTCACATTCCAATAGTACCTGTTTCTGCGTAGCCAAGCAAAGTCTAAAATGATCTTTGACGTGTCTTTCATCTGATAGGTCAAAGGTTACTGTTTTCCTGGCGAGCATCCCTGCGGCAGCGAGCAGGGCTGCTACTCTGACCATCAGCGCTGCGACGGATACTGGCACTGCCCATCGGGTCGCGACGAAGAGGCCTGCGCGATGTGCCCCGAGGGGGAGTTCCCATGCGAAGGAGGCACCGGTGCATGCTACGCTGCATCCGAGCGCTGCAACAACCAGAAGAGGTGTCCTGACGGTTCGGACGAGAAGAACTGCTACGACTGCCAACCTGGAAACTTTCACTGTGGGACCAACCTGTGCATCTTTGAGACGTGGCGCTGCGACGGCCAGGAGGACTGCTTAGACGGCAGCGATGAGAGGGACTGCCTGGCCGCAGTACCAAGGAAGGTGATCACAGCTGCCCTGATTGGCAGCCTGGTCTGCAGCCTCCTGCTGGTAATCGCACTTGGCTGCGCGCTGAAACTGCACTCGCTAAGGAACAGAGAGTACAGGTGAGGGTTTCTAGATATTCTTGCAGTTCTTTGCATAACAGACATTGAATTCCCAGTGCTGTCTGCTTTTCCAGATGACCATGGGTTTGTTGAAGTAGGTTGATGATGCCGTTCTCAACTCTATGGCAATAAGCAACCATTAGGAGTTTTAATAGTTGCTTGTTTGCCTACTTTGGTTGATCAACAGGAGCCTGTGAGCTTCATGATATACAGTAGGAGCTCAGTGTTGCAGCCAAAAGGTCTGCAGTTTAGTTTTCTTTGGGGAAAGGAGTTCTTCCACATCACTGAAACGGTCTCTTGGGTCAGACAGGTGGAAGAGGGCAGCAAACAGAGCAGGACTGTCTTATGATGAGGTTGAGCACAAACATGTGGAAGCAGAAGGGTCACTGGCCAGGTTAGGAGATAAAACAGTTATTAGCTTGAAAGGGAGGCAGTCAAGAGTGTGAGATTTCTCTTATATTGGACAGCAGAGGGATGCTGAGCCTCTGATCTTCTCCATCTCTGACCAACCGTCTCTAAAGTCGTTCTGCTGGAGCTTGATCTCCAGCTTCTTCCTCCAGGAAGCCTTATCTTGATTTAAAGTTGCTTTGGTATGCTCAATTTCCCGAGGGCATTTTTTTCCTCTTTAGCAGTTTTTCTTCAGAATGCAGGCGATCCGGAGTTTATCATCTGAAGGTGTTATCTAATCAGAACGTTACACAGTCAAACAGTCAGAGTATGGATGTCCTGCCCTGTGGGGTAAGATCATAGTCAATAAAAGTGTATGTGCAGGTGACTGAATTTATAAGTTAAAGTCAATAAAAGTAAATGAAATTAAGATTAGCATTTTTCCCTTGGTTACCAACTCATATGAAATCAGATATCTCACCTCTGAGAAAACAAGTTTAGAAATTATCAATACAAGTAAAAAAAAAGTCACTAATTTGCAGTAGTGAAAGTATGAATCACAAGTTTATAAGTATGAATCTACAACCACTGATGAAGTGTTTCCACTCCTCTCCAGTTGATGGTGGTTATTAGCAAACTCTCTTTAACCAGGAAGAGGAAGAAGAAAAACAAAACCGTTGATCAAACATTATTCTGCACATTAGCGTTCAATTAATCAAATTAATCAATTATTGAAACAATCATCAATTTATTTAGTAATCGGTTAATCGTTAATTGAGGTATAGAGACTGTAAAACATGCTTTATGTGTAAAACCATTTCATATATTGTATTCCTCCCATCTGACGTCTATACACTTCTCATTGTGGGTCTGTCACATATACCCCATTTACACTACCCTTAAAAAACCGGTCCGAGCTCAGTAACGGAGATAACTTATCGTGTGTAAATGGAAAGCAAACTGAACCGAACCGCGCTAGACCCAACCGGACCGAGCTAACTGCAGACCAGTTCCAGAGGTGGGCTCGGCTCGGTTTTTCCCTGGTTCGGTTCTCTGATAACAAGAGCGCATGAGCAGAATGCGTCATCTCCGTCTGGCTGCACATCGCGATTCACACTCCATTCCATTAGATGGCGGTAGAGAAGAACAACTTCTTCTTCAACTATAAACAATCGAAATCTTCTCCACGCAACATTTTAAACAATAACACCAAAGTACAGCAATAATAATCAAGCATAACTTTCTGAATGTGACGGGCGCCGCCATTTTGATTTGCTTGATTCCCTCCTTCTTCGTCTTCTTCTTCTTGTGTTATATGTCGGTTGGCAAACAACCTTTGGTGCATTACCGCCACCAACTTCTTGATTTCCTCCTTCAATACTGACAGTAATACCGCAGATCGTCACTAGGAGGCGAGGAGTCGAGATAGCGTGATGTGTAAACGGTCGTCAGAAGAACCGAGCTCGGCCTGGTTAACTGATCCGAGTTCGGACCGGTCTCGGCATGGATCGGTTTTTCAAGGGGTAATAAAATCCTCAAAAATATGCTTTGACTGTGTGTGTGATGATCCAAAATCTTGAAAAGTTCAAAGGGAATTGATTCTGAAGCAATAAAATATTTAATCGTTGGTTTTAATTGTTTTTCCAATTATCTTGGCGTGAACCCTGTTTCCACTGGAAACCATTACTGTGGATCATTTAACTACTTTCTATGAAATAGAAAATAAAATATCTAACTGTTCCTCTTGCAGAGCTTTTGAGACTCAGATGACTCGCATGGAGGCAGATTTTGTTCAGAGAGAAGCTCCTCCTTCTTATGGTCAGCTGATAGCTCAGGGTCTCATCCCCCCTGTGGAGGATTTCCCAGCTTACAACCCCACCCAGGTAACACCTTAATGGTCCTGTGGTATGAGACTGTACCGTGGAATAAGAAAAATAACTGTTCTGTTCTGCCTCCTCCTTCATTCAGGCCTCGGTGTTACAGAACCTTCGTTTGGCAATGCGCAGGCAGATCCGCCGTCACTCAACTCGCCGCTCCTCTTCTTCCTCTCGAAGACGTCTCGGGCATCTGTGGAGTCGGATTTTCCGTACTCCGGGTCGAGCGAGGGGCCAAACCGCGCTGCTGGATCCTGTCGAACCTGCACAGGTTACACTGGGGCTCCAAAGCTACCACGCAGTGAGGGAGGAGGGGTCAATGGGTGCCGCCATGTCAGCAGCCCGTGTCCAAGATGAGGGTGAAGTAGGAGGCTTTCTAACGCCTGAAAGCCCTGCATCGCCGCTGTCTTTGCAGTCAGTGAACAGTTCAGACGCGGAGGAACAGTCGCCTGTCGGCAGCGGGGGCGATGGGGTCCCGCAGTCTGAGCCCCCCACCCCTCAGGCAGCCCCCGTACCTTCCTGCTCCTGCCGTCCAACCAGAAAATTGGTTCTGGAACTTGCAGTTAACCTAAAGGGTGTCGCCTTTAAGCGGTACTCACCTTTGGGACCCTTTTCCCCCATGTCTCCCCCTGTGCTCACAAGTAGCTCCCCAATGCAATCAGCCCAACCCCCCCCTCAGGGTTCAGAGGTGACGTCACCCTCTGAGAACATGTTTCCTTCAGTGGAAAGAGAGGAATCCGACAGTCATTTTTCTATGGCCGTGCCAAGTGAGGAAAGGAGCTGCGTGGATGAGATGAATACAGAGAGCAAGCTGACTCAGCAGATTTAGTAAACATAAGGGGCGGGGGCGAAGACTCAGGGAGGGAAGTGCCAAGACATAAAGCATGAAGTGGTCTCAGTGGGATGACCGGATATCTGCTCCACCAAAGTGTCCTTTACATCAGATTCAGACCTTTCCTTTCCACTCACAGATAAAAACGCAGCTGAATATCAATACAGTTAATATTCTGAATGCTTACTGATGTGTAAATAGGGTTGCATATTCAGTCTGTCCTGATGTGAATCCAACCAGCAGTGTGTTGTAAATCTCTTTGTGAAGCTTACTGGAGAATCGATGACGAAATGCATAAAAATACTCAAAAAAACTCAGTTTTGGACAAAACAGCCAAGAAATCTACCTAACAAACCAAAACATTTTGTGTTATTACCCAGAGCCATTATTCACCGCCACCGACTGTGAGCCGAGGAGGCCTATAGACCAACATTTCACTACATGCATTGTAAATACACAGTTATACCTTACCTAGTTACTCTTCATGTTTGGGAAAAAAAGTCTCTGCTGATGAAGAATAAGAGATAAAACTGTTTTTACGCCACTGTATTTTACATTCCTGTTTACTTTAGATCATTTCCTGGGTGCATCCTAGATCCAGGTTAGGAATGTTTCCTGTTAGGAATGCTGATTATTAATTTGTTGTTACTTTGTGATAAATAGCTTAAAATCTGAATACAAAACACCCCCTAATTTTAGTAGATAATAAAGTGAGTGCTGGTGAAGATTCTAAGTCATTCAGGTCATTGTTGTTCCATAAAAAGTTAAAGAAAGAACAATCCAGTGGACTTTGTTTGATACTGGTCTATTGCAGACTAACGTAGACCTCAATGACTCCCCGTTACTGAGGCGCTGACCTGTCCTTCAATTTAAATGCTTTCTAAACCAAAACAAGTCTTTGTTTTTGGTCCACTCTATAAAGCCTGGAACTAAACGCTAATCCAGACATTTTGAATTGAAAAAGCTGTCCATATAAACTGTAAAACTCCCTGCATAATTATAATTAAGCAATTTATATGCATGAAACAAGTGGAACAATATGGCAATTGCTATACTGCTACACTTGTGATAGTAAAATCTGTTGGGTTCTTTTTGGCATTATTCTTATTGCCAGACAGGACAGTGTTAAAGGAATAGTACACCCGAAACATGATTAGCCTTCATTTTCTACTCACCCCCATGCTGAACAACACTCTGGAGTACTTTTTTGATATCTCAAATGCATCTGGAGATCTGGGAGGCTTCTTGCTGTCTGCTGACATTCAAATAATGGAGGTCTATGGTGCCCGAGACAGAAAGGTCCATAAAAGTCCACAAAAAACGTGTCAATATTCCTCCATACTGCTCGTCCAATGTATTGTGTCCTGAGTGGGTAGCATCCAGAATTTACTCGAAACGAAGTCATTTAGAATGTTTTTTAGAGCATAAAAAGTAGTGTATAGGATTTCCTAAAAGCATTCAGCTCGGCAGAGGACTCATGCTCTTCCTCAACACTGAAGTCCTCAGACATTTTTCTTTCGTTGTTTCTTTCTTTGCACAGGTAAACAGCACATTTCTTCTTCTACGCTTGCATTATCGGCAGAGCAGACGCTGAATGCGCACTTTCGTCTGGTTTGGTCTGCCGCGGTTTCCGTAGACTCGTGAACGCGCTTTCAGGAAATCCTATACACTACTGTTTATGCTCTAAAAACATTCTAAATGACTTCGTTTGGAGTAAATTATGGACGCTACCCACTCAGGACACTTGGAATACATTGGACGAGCAGTAAAAATGTCTTAAATTTTGTGTATTTATCCTTAATTCGAGAAGCTAAATGAGAAAGTTTGCCAATGGGATGAGTATTTTTGCTCTTAAAATATGTTAACTAGATAACATGCACTTGAAACAAGACAATGCAATTGTGTTTTCTTATTTAAAGTGTAAATTGTCTTGTTCCATTGCCAAAATGTCTCTTTTACCTCCTCAATCCAAGAACAAATGCACTTATTTTAAGAAAAAAATTACTTATCTAGATTTAGATTTTTTCCAGTGCAGAAATAAAACTCTGTTCAATCCTGCACCTTGTTTTGCACCTAAAAAAAAAAAAATAAATCTTCAAACCATGAAAAAGGTATGAAAGATAAGGGAGATTTTTATAACACATTGGTTCGCTATTAAAAAAATCAGTTATATTTATTCAGTGGTATCACTTCAAAGGTTTGCTTTTTTAAATCAAAGGGGGGCCATCTAAGAAAAGTTGGAGAATGACTGATTGTATCGTTTGATAGAAAGATATTCACTGACATTTTTTAAAAACTAATTCTAATTCACAACTATTAGCTAGCAGTTAGCTTAGCACAGAGACTGGATCCAGGAAGTATGGCCGATTTCCTTCAGTCCGCCTGCTAATTTAACCAGAGCCTTGCTATTGCAACATTTAATTTCTTTTTTGGAGTTTTTACGTCATTAGCGGCTCATTTTTGGACAGGAGGGGGTCTGAGAGAGGGGGAGAGACATGCGGCAAAGGACAAAAGGTCGGATTTGAACCCGGGTCAGGAGCGTAGAGGACTAAGACCTCCATACATGGGTCGTCTGCTCTAACCACCTGCACGCCCACATTTAATCATTTTTTATTAAACATCTTTGAACTTTGGTGTCATATCTGTGAAGCTTTATTTTGTATTTAATTCGTCTGATAAGTGAGTTAGCATTTTGATTTGCTCTGCTGTGATTTTTAAGGATCCTTCCTGTTCATCCGCTCAGCCACGTGTCCTATTGCTTGAATAATTCTGTCTACAAAAACCTTCAGAGCATCTGCTCCGATTTCTACTTAATGGAGGCGAGTGCGATGGACCCGGCCTGTTCAGTCAGCATGGGCGGAAATAAGGATTTTATAATAGAAAAAAAAAGAAAAACTTTCCAGGCTTCAGTGAAACTTTTGAGACTTTATATTCCCTTTTCTGCTCCCGTCTTTGATGCTTTTTGTAAAGCTATTTTTGCTGCTGTTTAAGACCGGCAAGGGACTCTTAGGATTGTTGGACTTCTACTGAATGTAAGATTTGTTTTTCTACTTACCTGGTAAACTCCTGTCAATATTTCCCATAAAAAAGAAAAAAAAAAAGACGTTATTAGCATCATGCTGCTTATTTTCTAGGTTCCTGTTTTCTTGCCAACGGCTTGCTGAATGTTCCACGCCATCTTTAGTCACAGGCTTCGCCATGATTCTTAAACATTCTCATTTCTTGTCACGTGTCAACCACAAACTTTCAGTGTATTCTACTGTAAATTTAAAGAATATGCCAAAAAAGACAATGATTGTGCCATTTAAACAAATATGTTTACCTTTTTCTTTGATCAGTTTTCCTCCAGTGTTGGCCATCATGCCATCTATTCTATCTTCCCTACATCTGCTGAAGAAAGGTATCACCACAGCATGACACAGACACCACTATGCTTAACAGTGGGGTGGTAATAATACTATACATAGAAGAGCCCTTCAGGACACTGCATCAGTTAATTTCCACCGAGTTGAGAATATGCAGCTTCTTCAGTTATTAAGAATGCTTCTCTGATGAATGATTAGGGTGTTAGTCATCTTTTGGTAGGTTTGCAGATACCTGAGTGAAGTTGCCCCCCCCCACCTCCTTCAAATCAGACAAAATTAGTGTCAAACGTTTGTTCTTCGTTTGTGCAGCAAAAATTTTCGTTTGTGCAGCTATCGTTTTAAAGATATAAATATTTCTAGGTGTCTGACCTGAGTGAAGTTGCCCCCCCCCACCTCCTTCAAATCAGACAAAATTAGTGTCAAACGTTTGTTCTTCGTTTGTGCAGCAAAAATTTTCGTTTGTGCAGCTATCGTTTTAAAGATATAAATATTTCTAGGTGTGACCTGAGTGAAGTTGGCCCCCCCACCTTCTTCAAATCAGACAAAATTAGTGTCAAACTTCTGTGCTACGTTTGTGCAGCAAAAATTTTCGTTTGTGCCGCTATCGTTTTAAATATATAAAGAAGTATTTCTAGATGTCATCAAAGGTCAAACAGCACCCCCACCTTATTCAAATCAGACGAAATAGGTGTCAATTAGCTCAGCTCCATTTGTGCTGGTTTGTGCAGCAAAAATTTTCGTTTGTGCTGCTTTGGATTTGAAGATTTGAAGAAAGTTGGGGGGCTGGTTGACCTTTGATGACCTCTAGAAATATTTCTTTATATCTTTAAAATGAAAGCGGCACAAACGAAAATTATTGCTGCACAAACCAGCACAAACGTTTGACACCAATTTGTCTGATTTGAAGAAGGTGGGGGGGCCAACTTCACTCAGGTTTTGCAAATAAGTCATACACTGATGGCATTATACAGAGCTCTGAGGAATATTGTTTTAAAACCAAACCCTGCGTTAAACACCTTCACAGCTTTATCCCTAAACAGCAGCATTAATACTGAGGTTTAATAACGCTCAGATAGACTTCATTGCTAAATACTTGGTTGGTTTACCATAAAGTTCACCAAAGCTTGTGGTTGTAACGTGACAAAAAATGTTTTTCTTTCAGAAGAATTCTCTCTCTTTAAAAGTTTAAGAGCCATTAAAATATTTGGGGAAAAAGCAAAACAAAAACATTGATTAGTCAAAGTAAAATGGTTTTGTTGTCGAGTTCCAGTTGAGGTCGATGTGTCCGTCTGAGGAAAACTGGAATCAGACCAACTTGAGGATTTATAGTTGTGGCTCCTGCTGTAAAGATGCTTCTCTGAGGGAAACGATATTCATTTACATTTAAACGTGTAAATTATCTTTCTTAGTGACATTTAAAACCTCAACAGTGTGGAAACATGGAACATTTGGAATTGTGTGGTTCTGTTAGACTTTCCTGTTGAATCCGATTATTTCCAAAATAAAACATTTCCAGATCTAACCAACTTCATTCCTAAATCTGTTTTATTTATTTATTTTTTTTACAGGATGGAGATCGTGATTCAATTTCACTAAATAATCTAGAATAATCTCCCTCTGATCTTTGCTGTGATTTTTAGAAATTATTTTCAAAGTCAAAGGATAAGAGTCACTAAGAGTATTTGTAATGAGCTCCTAATTATTCATTAAGAGAATTTTCTGCCAAGTTGATTGAATAAACAAGATGAAAAGCTTTTTCTCATTTTTTCCATTTTTAAACTCCTGTTTGCACTGCAAAATCGATCTGGAAACGAGAGCAAAAATGTCTTAAAATTTGTGTATTTAGTATAATTCAAGCAAGTAAATAAGATTTGCCAATGGAATGAGTATTTTTACTCTTAAAATAAGATAATTAGATAAAAAACAATTGCATTGTCTTATTCCAAGTGGATATTCTTATTTTAGATGTAAATTTACTTATTCCATTGGCAAAGTGTATCACTTAACTGCTTAATTCAAGAAAGAAATGCTCTTTTTTTTAAATAAAAATAAACTTACTTAGATTTTAATTTTTTGTAGTGTGGAGGTAACCATTCCCATAAGAAGAGGAGATCATCATATCAGTCATTCTTCTGAAATATAAAATGGCAGGAACTACTGGAATATGGCAGACAGTTTGAGTAAAAACTCTTTCCTAACAGGAGCTTTTCTTTCCTGCATCACTGCACTGGAAAAAAAATTGAAATCTGGATAAGTAACTTCTTCTTAAAATAAGTGCATTTGTTCTTGAATTGAGGTAAAAGAGACATTTTGCCAATGGGACAAGACAATTTACATTTACAATAAGAAAAACACAATTGCATTGTCTTGTTTCAAGTGCATATTATGCATTATTCTTATTTTAAGAGTAAAAATACTCATTCCATTGGCAAACTATCTCATTTACCTACTTAAAATAAGAATAAATACACTTAATTTAAGAAATGTTTACTTATTTCTAGATCGTTTTTGCAGTGTGCAGTAATTGGAGATTTGCCTACAGATTTTGGACATCTATTAAGCTGCGCTCGTCAGATGATGGTTCCACTGTTTGGCCAAAACTTTAGCAAAGGCAGGAGTCTACAGCTTGCAGTTTTTGACCCTTTAAATCAGACATCTTTTTTACCATAATATGCTGCCCTAGTAAAACTAAACACTTCAATAATTTACTACACTGGGAAAAAAAATGTAGAAATAAGCAAAATGGTCTTAAATTTAAGTATATTTACCCTTAATTTGAGTAGGTAAATTAGATAGTTTGCCAATGGAATAAGTATTTTTACTCTTAAAATAAGATTAGATAATATGCACTTGAAATAAGACAATGCAATTGTGTTTTTTCTTATTTTAAATGTAAATTGTCTTGTTCGATTGGCAAAATGTCTTTCCTCCTCAATCCAAGAACAAATGAACTTAAAAAAAAAAAAGAAAAAAAAGACTTATCTAGGTTTAGATATTTTCCAGTGTAGCTGCACTGGAAAAACGACCTAGAAATAAGTAAAAGTTACTTAAATTAAGTGTATTTACCCTTAATTTGAGTAGGTAAATGAGACAGTTTGCCAATGGAATTAGTATTGGAAAACTAATTAGATAATTAGAAAACACACACTTGAAATTAGACAATACAATTGTGTTTTCTTATTTTAAGTGTAAATTGTAGGGATGCACGATATAATCGGCCCCCTATCGGTATCGGCCTTAAAACTGAATATCGGACATTGGCCACCCCACCGATATTTAACCCGATATTTGATCAGCTTCTGAGTTTCTAAAGTCTAAAAAAAAATAAATAAATACTACTTCTTCTTCTTCCTCAAAAACTTCTTTTTTACAGACTTAAAAACTTCTAAAGACGAGGGAAAAAATATTGATACATTAAAATATCCCAATATCTTCATATGCTGATATATTGCCATTTAAAAACACCATATCAATCTCTTTTACTAATGAAATATTGCTATATGTCATCGTTATGCTACGAAATCCCCCGAAAATTCACAAAATGTTGCCATATTTTTATATGTTGATATATTGACGCGGTATCGATCTATTTTACTAACAAAATCTCACAAGAATTTGCAAAATATCACGAGAGTTTGTAACAGAACGATGAAATTTCACCAGATTTTGAAAGTAAAAAAGATCGATACCGCGTTTTTGAAAATAAATTTGATATCATATTTTGAAAATATATTTGAGTATATTATTTTTCAAAGTGTCAGAAATGGATAACAAAACTGCTATTTTCAATGACTACTTATTTTTGTCCAGCTTTAACATCGGTATCGATATCGGTTATCGGCCACATGAATTTTAAAATATCGGCATATCGGATATCGGCCAAAATCCCAATATCGTGCATCCCTAGTAAATTGTCTTGTTCGATTGACAAAATCTCTTTTTCCTCCTCAATCCAAGAACAAATGCACATATTTTGAGAAAAAACGACTTATCCAGATTTAGATTTTTCCCAGTGTAGCTGCACTATGACTCTCAATGAGGTCACAAACTGGACAAGGGAAAGCCGTCTTTTATAAGCCGCTATATTTAATAACAGTTTCATTGTTATTATTGTACAACTTTACATGTTTTTTTTTAACAGACAAAAGGGGCAACACACATCAATCAGGTAGTGTGTAAAGACATCACAACACGTCTGAGGAATGTAATCTTAGAAGGAGTCCTTGGCTCGTTTCTCTTCACACAGTATTTACAAATAGCAAAAATAACCGCGCCTGGACATTAGACAGATGTGTTGATACGTTTATAGAGCCTTCTTTATAGCCTAGTTACCAGCTTATACATGTATTTATGGCCTTTTTAAAGCACCACAAGTTCAATTCCTGCACCAACTTCTCTGGTTTACATCTTGTTAAACAAAACCAGAGGCCTCAACCTTCATCTTCTGTTGTCTTTGCAAGATGCTGTAAAAAGCGGCAGAATCAGTTACCTTACTTTTACAGGTAATGGTACTGACCCAGTAGTAATGGCACTAAGATCTCCAAAGAGTTTAAAAGGACAGTTTGAACATTGTGGAAGTTTGACAAGTTATCAGAGCCAGTTCCCCTAAAAAAAAATAAGTCAGATTGTAGTGAGATTATAAAAAAATGGAGTAGCCCAGTGCAATGGAGAGCTACTACCTAATATGGAAAAAGAAGTGCAACGAAATGCAGCAAAATAGCTTGTAAACTAGCCGCGAAATGTTCTGCAAAACTATACAGGGATGAAATGGAGCCAAATGTCAGAGGAAAAGGAAACTGCCTTTGATAACTCAAATCTAGACCAGCTCTTCAAATGCAAACGATTTCACCAGCGCCACCATGTGGCCGGATGATGTAAAAATCTGACAACATGAATTCAAGTAAGTTTTAGTACGTCGAGTCGACTAGGATCCGTCCCAGTGTAAAATATCAGTACCTTAAGTTAGTTGGCAGGTAGCATGAAAGTGGGTGTAGGCCTGTGTACGTCGGAGCATCCGTCTGCTAATGCTGTCCAACAACAGCTTTACATACAAGTACTATATGGTTACAAGGTTGACTTCTGAAGTCTGAGAACGTCTTGGTTGTGCGAGCACCTTTACAGAGTTTAAAAACCGGGAAAGTGTCCGAAAAATCTTTTGAAGGCTACTTCGGAAAAACCACAAATTCATTAACGTTCAACCCTGAAAGCTTCACATCTTCCTCATGTCTCTCATGTTCCGTCTTTGCTAGGAGAGATAAATATTTTAAAAACCCAATAAGGCACATATGGTGTCTCTCAGTAAATAGTTGAAACAGACTGAAGATGAAATGAGCGTGATATTTGTAGCGCAGAAAACAATGACCAGACAGAGAAGTTGTAACTGACCAATGAGAAATGAGAGTAATTAGTCAAACAGGGTCTGAGGCAGCAGTAGCAATAAAAATATGGCTAAATGCAGGAAATGTTTGCATATTCGTCTTAAAAGTATCTCTCCTTTGAAATGTTCTCCGTCTCAGCTCCATTCAGCAAAATGTACAACATATGACAGCAACTCTTCTCAATGCACACAGCAAACAAACGCGAACTAACACCAAAAAACAAAGTGCAGATGTGGATGCAGAAAACGAGAGCCCTGTTTGCCTTCACTGCTCAGTCGACGGCTTTGGCAGTGAGGGGTTCAGTCTCTGAGGAGTCTTCCTGTGGAAACACAACATAACACAGCTTCTGGCCCAGGTACGTCACCCTTTCTGCAAGACAACAGAGGTCAGAGCTGAGAGGATTTTCTTCCAACGGAGAAACACTTCGGGGGGAAACGGTAAACAGTTCAAGCTTACCAAGCAGGATGTAAATCCATTTGGGTTTTTCCTTCCACTGAACTCCCACAAAGTAAACGGGGACACCAGTCAGCATGATGACCATCCCCAGGCCACACACCACCGGCTCAGAGTACAAACTGCAGCCCAGCAACACGGCCCAGAAAATCAGGTAGGTGATGGGGACCAACAGGTTTACCTGCACAGAAGAAAAACACGCCCAAATCTTAACATCCGTTACTTACACACAACATGCTGAGATTAAATAATCATCTTTATTTTTTATTTATCCTTTATTTAACCGGGTAATATCCATTGAGATTAAAAATCTCTTTTGCAAGGGAGACCTGGCCAAGATAGGCATCAAAATTACATCACATCATTACATACGTACAAAGACACACATAAAAGCCAAATATGCACTTACAATAAAATTTCAATTAAAACATTGACATGTGAGGGAGTCCAACTCAAAACATCTCATTCTCAGCTTAAAAGTATTCAAAGGAACCAATTTACTACGTTTCAAGTTATTGAATGCATATATAATATATCACCATAGTCCAGCAGTTAAAAAAAGTGGATGCCACCAACCGTTTTTTTACATTAAAAGAAAATCACAGCTTATTTAGAAAATAAAAACCCAATTTTAGCCTCAAACATCCAAATATGACATATACTAAATATAAAATAAACCAGGCAGCTAGGATAAGAATGCATTTGAAGAAAAAAAAAAAATACTAAAATAAAATCCACACAAATTACAAGTCCAAAGAAAATATGCAAGTCTCCATTTAGGACACTAGATGGCAGCAAATATTGGAGTCTGCCTATGAAGGTAACTTGATTGTGGATAAGTAATGTCGCAGATCTCTGTCATCATGTCCTGATCAGTAAATCTATCAGCTGGTGGACGTATGAAATGTTCTTATTAGGGCTACAACAGGAGGACATTCCTGACACATGGACACTGAGTGAGATACAGGATGATAAAAAGCATCAGCTGTACCTTAATGGGTCTGGCCAGGTTGGGTCTCTTTTTACGCAGGTAAAGCAGGCCAGCGATGGTTACCCCATAGGACAGATAGTTGATGAAGGACACGTAATTGATCAGGTTGTGCGTCTCTCCAAGGCACAGGATGAGTATCGTGGCAAGGCACTGGAGGACAAACAGAAGGTACATGTTAAACAAAAATAAGAAAACACACTAATTAGTACTTAAATAAGTCTTCTAGAATTTAATAAACATGAAGAGCACTTACACAGACGAGCAGAGCAGGGATTGGTGTGCAGTTTTTCAGATGGATCATAGCCAGGAGGTATGGCAGATGACCTTCTCTGGCTCCAGAGAAGCATAATCTAAAAATAAAGAAAATAATATAATAACTTAGTGTTTTATAGACTGTGCCATTTTTATTCCATGAGGCGTTTAACATACAATATTAAAAGACTTTAAACATTATTGAAGCAGTAATAAAACCCTTGCGGAGGTTCTGTTGTACCTGGAAGAAGTGAACAAATATCCATTGATTCCTCCGAAGGTGGACAGAGCTACAGAGATGGGCATCACCCAGGAAAACATGCCCAGCAGCTTTTCTCCAAACGTCTGAAACAAAACAACAAACAGAAGTATTCACACCCCCTTAAACGGTGTCACATTACAAACAACAGCTTCAAAGCAGGAATAGTTTGAGCTCACCACTGCTACAGCGTTAGAGGTGAGCAGCTCCTCTGGAGTCATGGAGGTGAAGTAGGCGATGTTGGTCAAGGTGTAGACCAGCGTCACCAGTGGGATAGAGATGTAGATGGCAAGGGGCAGGTTCTTGCGCGGCTCCACGACCTCCTCTGTGACGTAGTTGAGAAAATTCCAGCCACTGTAGGCAAAGGAGGCTTGTAGGAAGGCCAGGGCTATCTGTCCAAACGAGGGATCCTGACTGAACTCAAAGGCTGCGCTGGGCACCAGGGCATCGTAGTGACCTGGGGGGAGACGGAGGAAGGACGATCTTTTAACTTTAGTAAAGCAAACTTTAGTATTCCCGTCACTCTGTTCCATAAATCTGTGTTTACCTTTGAAGATCTGCACCAGTCCGACCACGATGATGAGCGCTAGAGCCAGAAGCTTCCCTACAGTGAAAATATCCTGAATCCTTGTTGCCCAGCGAACACTGGAGCAGTTCACCCAGGTCAGGAACACTGTCCACACAAAAATATACAAACTAAAGTTATACAGCACATCTCATTCAACAGTAGCCTCGTGAGACCATCCTGATCTCGCCAGCTTTCAAGGTTTCACTCTCAAATCAGTCTGGAGACTCTCAGTTAAAGAAAATTTGGAGCCGTTCACCAAACGAACATCCAATCAGCGTTGGCTTTGAGGGGGGTTGAGGTGTGACGCAACGAGAAGCGCGACAGTTCAGTCTAAAGAACATGGCGGCTTCAGCAGATGAAACTAGCGTTAGCGTGGCTATCGAGCAAGTTTTATCGGAATTACAGAGTATTTCTTCACTGAAATAAGAGCAAAACACTGCTCTGGAGGCTTTTCTCAGAGGAAAAGATGTTTTTGCTCTTCTTCCGACTGGTTTCAGCAAGAGTTTGATCTATCAATTGGCTCCTCTTCGTCGTCGCTCTGTTAGTACGTCATATGCCTCGTTTTGGCCCGTCTATCACCAACATAGGCCAATCAGCTAACCAGTATTTTCACCCCTTCCCAAAATTACTTCAACGGAAGTTTTCCAGATGGATATGCGGCGCAGTCAGGTTAATTCAGCAGGGCGATGCAATATATTTAACAAACACGGATACAAACTGATCCAAATAGTAAAGATGACTATCCCACCAAACCCCCTGTAAACCTAGGCCCTCCGTGGAAGAGAGCGAAGTGGTCCAAATTATAATTTAAGCAAACAAAGACAGTAATATTAGAATGATAACGGCATTATACAAAGCCCTAATAAATCTTGACTGGAAAAATCGAATACGATTTTGTTATTACGCCCAAGTCCAAAATAAACAAATACATAGGCATCAAGAATGTTGGAGAGAGTTTTGAGAGATAGATGTCAACCATTCCCATGTTTTTTGGAAGTGTTCAAAACTTTTGGAGTTCTGGGAAATGGTTTACAGTGTATTATGTGAAGTATTAGGGTATGTAATTCCAATGAAACCTGAAATTCTCTATTTGTGCAATTTTGGTGATGATACTATCCATGAAAAGGATAACTATTTGGTAAAAGTGATGTTTATAGCTGCAAAGAAATGTATTATAAGGAAATGGGGGAAGTCAAACGTGCCATCAAAGGACCAATAGAAGACATATTTCTCATGGAAAGACTAACACACAGACTGAGACTACAAGAACCACAGATGAAAAAAAAATAAAAAATATGGGGAAAATGGACATTATTTAAACAGAAAAACTGAAAAGAAGGTGCTACCCAGACATGTTCATGTTAATGTACTTTGTTCCTTTTTATTTGTATGTTCGTTGTATGATCAAAAATAATAAAATATAAGTGCCAAAAAACAAAATAAAACCCTGTAAACCTGACGGCCTGCCATGATGGCTTCAAATAAACAGTGAGGGGCACTAAGTGTCAAACCTAGATGCTCTTTTCATCCATTTTTATTAATTTACACATCATCATCTGGGTTAAACAAGAAAGCTGCTGAAGTATGAGTAGAAAGTTGCATGGTCGATGTCACTGTTTCTAATCCATCAGCATGCCTTAAGCACTCAAACTGACCTTGTTTCATAAACCCTACATTAGCTACTGAGAATGATCCAAAAACAGGTTTCTTTTTAGGCTTTAAATTAGCTCATCTCTACTGCAACCCTGCATAAAAAAGGATAATCAGAAAGTTTCCGGTCGTCACCCTTATAACAAAGATGGGAAAATATTTCCATCGCTGTCAGTGAGGTAACTTCTCTGGTTTAAAAGCCAAAGCAGTTGTGAGGACAGCAGAGCGGTGTTATGATCTGAAGTGTTTGTTTCCCTTAGGAATGTGATCCTAGGACATGCACCATGTAGTCATATGGGCCTTGCTTCAGAGAGCAGGCGTCTGCTGAGTGAAGAGCAGATATCCTGAATAAACCGTTTAGCTCAGGAAAACACAAGATGTTTGGTTTCAGAAGAGAGGCCCGTTTCACAAAGCAGGTTTAACAAACAGACTAAAATCCTCAACTCTGAACTGCAAATATGATACATAAACTATAAAATCAACAATATCAGCTAATTTAGTAATTGATTCAATATTAACTGGAGTGTAGAGACTCTTAAAAAATGCCTTTAGCTGACAAAATGACCCAATTAAAGCAGTAATTATATCAAAATTATATATATAAAAAATTTTGTATTAATATAAAAAAATAAATGATTTTCATCTGTCAATATGCTCCATCCAGAACTCCTCCAGTGGAAAAGTTTGAGTTTCACCTGGTTTAATTTCATAAAAAAAAAAATTATTAATCAATAAAACAAACAGATTAATCGATTTGCAAAGTAATAATTACCCGGCAAAAAAACTGAAATCTAAATAAGTAATTTCTCTTAATATAAGCAACTTTTCTTGAATTGAGGAGGTAAGAGAGACACTTTGCAAATGGAAGAAGACAATTTACATTTAAAATGAGAAAAAAAACAATTGCATTGTCTTATTTCAAGTGCATATTATCCAATTATCTTATTTTAATAGTAAAAAAAATCCATTGAAAACTCTTATTTACATACTCATTAAAGCTACAGTGTGTAATAATTACAGGCATATAAATTCAGAAATTTAATATATTATACATAACTATGTTATTTATCATCACCTATGAGCTCAGCCTTTTAACCATAATATTTGCGTTGCCTTAGAATTCGTTATTTATAATTACATAGGAGCGGGTCTCGCAGCCATGGAGGCTGACATCTTTGCGCTACGGCAGCGCAGAGGCAACAAACTAGCGATTGCGAGATCTCCCATGACGCTCGAAAATAACTACGGCAAGTTGAGAGAGATGAACTGAGACGGTACTGAACAGTAGATGGCAGTGTTATGCCTGAGAAGCGTTTAGTCTGCCTGAAACCAAAGAAGAAGAAGAAGCAGGTATACTGCGCCTCGGTAACAAGAAAGGTAAACAAGGCGGCAGGCGTGAGTGACTTTGCAAACTGTTTGGCACTGTGTGGCCAAACATCAGACGAATGGAGGATCATGCCTACTCTGTATCACAACGAAAAGCGGCGGACACCGAACCCCCGTCATCTAAGAAGCGGAAACACGACGAGAATAAACGCAAGAGTGACAAGAAACGACAAAAAACACGGATCAACATTGGCACGGCATTTACACGATGGAAGTCACTGATGGAGGAAAAAGGTTTTCAAAGTGACGCTCAAGTTGCCAGTTTTCTCTTGGACAGGTAATTAATCCTACACACACAATTGTCTAATATCACTGCAGTTTTTGGAGTACAGGATGCTCAGACCTGTCTAAAACAATAACATGCTGCGTGATGATGCTGTTACTCTCCAGTATACTTATTCAGCAACGTCCCTGACGTTTCATAGGTAATGATTCAGTAATTTTCTGTAAAATAATTTTCTGGATATATACCTCGGTTACTTCTCTCCGGCTCCTTTGGAGATCTTCAAGCCTTTCCTCCTCTGCTCTCACCCCGCTGGCTCCCCTCTCTCGCCTGGCCCCAGCTGCACGCTCACCCCGGCCTCTCTGCCCTCTTCCTTTCCCTCTTCCTTGCCTTGTAACCCCCGTGCCACAAACAAGACTTGGACTCTGTAAACGGGGAATATATATTCTTCCAGCGAACACAATCTCGCTGTTAAACTAATGACTACAATTACTTCGTCTGTTTATATCACCATGCAAAGCAGCTCACCAAAACGTCACAACGACGTAGAAAAAATAACGGGTATATTTATTATTTTAAGTCTACATGAAATCTATACCCTACACAGACTAATGAAATACTATCTGTAAAATTATCTATGTAAACAAACCTCATCACTTGAGAAGGTAGGTGATGCGGACGTCGTGGAAGACATTTTGTCCCGTAACGCTCGCCGTACTGTTGGGGGGGAGAAGCGGTGGGGGGGAGACGTTCATGTTGCTGCAGTCTGCAGTCTGACCGCTAGATGTCGCTGAAAATTACACACTGTAGCTTTAAGGCAAAATAGACATAATTTAATATTTTTTTTTACTTCTTTCTAGATTGTTTTTGCACTGTTGCAGCAAAAGTCACAACCATCAGATAAAAAATGTTGAATAGTGATGCCTTCATGGTTATCCATTACTCTGTTCTTCCTGGTAGGATAATCTCCAGATGTTCTTTAAGGGGTTTTAAAACAGAGACGGCCTTCTTTAGAAGCTTGCAAGCTGCTTTAAGTCATTTGCTCTGATCCTTTCACCAATAGATGATGGTAGAACAGACTTAGAAGGTCTGCAGCATCTTGCCTCAAACACTTCTTTCAGAAGTCCAGTCTGCTCAGTTAATTCTTGTAGACGGCTTCACGGCTGTATCTGTAATAGATTCTGTTGTCCAAAAGAAAAGCAAGGTTTTTATATTCCTGCATCACTTGAACATGTTCCCCCATGATGGTAATGGTATTAATCTAGTTACTGTTTCTTCTAAGATCTACAATCATCTTTGTTTTGTCCACATTCAGGATAAAGATGATCGTTTCCACACCATGCCACAAAGTGCTTCACCAGCTCCATGTGCTCAGCTCACTATTCATCTCTGATGCTGCTAAAAACTGCAGATTCATTCGAGTATTTCTGCTGACGACAGGAACGCTGCTGAATGAACTCTTGACTTTTCAGCCTCACAAACTGTGGTCCAATTGTCAGGTAGCCTTTGGTCTAAGTGATTGTAAAGGACTTCAGTTGGCGTCTTCTAAACTTACTGCAAATCAGGTTGAATTGTGTTAAATGCTCAGTAGAAATCAGAACATGATCCTCACAGTTCAAATGACAGGTTTAGCTGAATTACTCCAGTAACACAAATATGGCGCTCTAAATTCCCTCTCCCCTGTCAGGTCCATATTCAAATAAAGAAATAATAAACACAACTTGAGTTCCATGTTTTCACTATGGTTAAGTTTTTTTTTTTCTTACATTTAACACACAGAAGTCCAGATTCGCCCCAAATACCCATCCATCCTTGACATCACCCAGCTCCTGTACCCAAATAATCA